TTTTTTTTTGCTGAAAGAGAAAACTTTTTTTGTTGCTTTTTTTTTGCTGAAAAAGAAATTTTTTATTATAATTTAGAAATTAAAACTTTATTTTGTGAAATGCATAAAAAAATGTAATTTTTTATTATACAGATATTCTAAATGGTAATTTAAAGGTCTCTTCTGAAAGGATGCTGATATACGCGGTTCAGCGCCATTGCGGCGCTTACTATAACTTTTTTTTAAAAAAATTCATTTTTATCGAGGTGCAGCGCTTCTGACGAAGCGGCGCCTTCGCCGAAAAATACGGTATTTTAATGTAAAGCTAACTTTTTTTCGCAGTGAAATCCTTGCAGAACATTTTTATATATTAATAAGTCCTGTTGCAGAACATTTGAAAATATTCTGCTTCTGGGACTATGACTAGTTTGTTCCAAGCATACTTCAAACGGCAAAGCATCATCTATCAATTCTCACCCAAAAACTAAAATAAAATTAGAGTTAAGTACTGAGCAATTAATTTTCAAATGCAAAACTATACATCTTTTTCATTTTAAAATATTTAACTTAATACTACCAAAAAACTACATCACCATTACAAAAAAAGGGGAAAAATTGATAAAAAAATAAGGAAGATACCTGAATGGCAGACAAAGTAAAAGAAAGAGATGTATCTGCTAATGTAATATGAAACTGAAAGAAAAGGAGCATGAAGAGCAAAGAAATTGAAGAAAGCAAGAAATGAAAAGATATGGTTGATTTTGAAGAGACATTCACAACTTCCAAGATGATTTCCCAAGTCTTAGGGAAATCAGTAAAGCATATTTAAAAATATTCAGCATATCTTTAAATGCAAACCTAGAAACAAGAGGCTTTGCATTAATTAGAACTTTGTGCTATATAGATCATTTCACAAATCATTAAACTTATGCACTAAACCTGGCAATATATGATTAATAAAAACACTTTAAAATAATCTCTAAATAATACTAGTTAACTCAAAAGATATGCATTTGTGAGGTACATAAAAATAATTAAAATATCAATAGCATTAAAACTAAAAACAATAGAACAATTTAATTAGAAATATGAAAGTTAATGTTGCAAAACATTGAAATGCGAGATCTTAATTCATTGAAAAGTACTTTGATTTTATTTCCGATATTATTAATTCTCGATCTTCTTTGAAATTTCACATGAAGCTATGTGAGTAAGAAAATAGCAAGATCTCCCATAGTTTTTTAAAAATTAAAAGTAATTCTTACCTTATAATTAACTTTAAGTTAAGATTGCAATTACAATAAAGCCGCACCTCGTGGCCGTGTTTAATGTAAATTGTTTATTATTTATATAGTACGCTTTTGAATGCCTATTTTTGCTGTACTAAAATTTAATTAGCAATTTTTTTAAATCTCATTTTTAATTAGTTACCTTTTTTTAATTTGTGCTACCATTATGTTTAAGGTATTTAAATCTTTATCATTCCTATAAGTTTAACAAATATTTCTTTCCTTTAAAATGTTAGATATTTTCACTGCATTTATTTTGTTTACGAAATGGCATCAGGAAATTTTATCGATCAATATTTTTTTGTTCTGTATTCCATCATGGTTTGTGTTTTGTAAGAAAGAAAAATTCCATGAAATAAAGCTCGAAAATTGTAGGGAAATGGGATTAATATGGAACCATATGAATTTGAAAGCTCGCCAACACCTAGATTTGCTTTAGTAAAAAAATATAGTCCAATGTTGTACAAGAGATACCTTCTGTCTAATAACCTTATTGTGTAAGAATGTATTTTTAAGATGTTGGTTTTAAAATTTATAAAGCGCTTTGTTATCTAGTGAGTAACTGTTATTAAAAAAAATATTTTCAAATTTTAGAAAAAATTACATTATTTACTTAATAAATAAAGTACTACTCCATGTGTTTGCCTATCTAACATCTTTGATCCGTATTTACTCCAATTTTTTCTCTCCTTCCCCTAAAGTGGTGTACCATATTGTATTTTTTGTTATTAATTTTTCTGAAAATATTACTTAATAAAATCGATTTGTAATAGATTAGTGCAATCGGCAAGCAACTGCGTTAGTCTGCTGGGTTTTACCTCTTGATGACTAATTCTTAATTATTTCTATATTAATATGTATGCCAAGCAACATCGAAGCTCCGGTTGACAATCATTAGTTGTTTTGAATGTTTTCACATTAAATTTTTCGATTAAAATAGTTAATATAAATTTTATGTCAACCATTAAATATGGAGACTAGTGTGTGGTAATTGTAATGTATTAAATTATTTTTTTTTACTGCTTTTTAAAAATACAATACAATTAGAGTTGTTTCAGAAAAAAAAAGATTTTGTATTTATAATTTATAGTAGATTATTCTATTTATTAAATTAAGAATAATTATAAAAAATTGAGTTTTACATTATTGTCAAGCTTTGCCAAGCATTTTGTCTCATAATGAAAAATAATTTCATATCACTTTTAAAATATTTGCTCACATTTTAAGATGTTCATCTTTTCAATTTTAGTGTAAAAATTATCTTTGTATTTTTTTTAATTCTTTAAAACCTAGTATTTTTTTTTTTTTTAATTTTTCAAATTTAATTATTTTAAAATTGGAAAGTTATGCAAAAGTTTTATTTTTTTCTTTCCTCCTTATATTTGGTTTTTTATTTTTGCACTTTTTATCATTGTTTTGAAGCTTAAAATGTAAAATATTTTAGAAATCATAAATAAATGATTTATAAGTATTTGAATTTCGTGACAATCCGTTGTTTGGGTCACCTAAAAATCTAAAGTTATTTAAATTATAATGCTTGAATATCATTGTAAAATTAAATAAATATGTTTTTAATGTTCAATTATCAACTTATCATAGAAATATCAGAAAAATGCGTTTTGATAATATTTTATTAAGATTAAAAAATAATTTTATATATAAAACTGTAGGTATGTTAATTATTTGTTAGCACTTCAGTTATCTAATATATTTTACTAAGTCTTAATATTCATTTGATTTTCTTCTTTATCGGAAGTGAAATTAATAATTTAGAACCTAATTATTTGAATCAAAATGAGCATTTTTTTAAACAAATATATTTTCATTAGATTTGAGAATGAGTGAAAAGGAGCATAATCAGTGGCGACACTCGCGGCGTGAAGCTTTCACCATGCGGTCTTCATCAGCTCCTCAAAGTCGGCCAACTATTACTCCTCAACGCTGGAGAGATATTCCCTGTCCAACTGTGGGATCTTTTATGGTTGCTAATCGACTTGAAGAAGTTTTAATGGGTGTTGTTCCATCAGATTTGCCTTTGAAGCAATTTTGTGATCTCTCAGAAGAGGATCTAAGAACCAAGTTCAATGTTGATGACGATGAGAAAGTTAAATGTGTCATGACTGTCATACAGCTAGCTAAGGAATTTGAAAATACATGTCCTGTAAGTTTCTTTTTTTTTGTTTTATGTCACAAATGTTTTTCAAAATCATACAATTCTATTACATTTATTTTCCTGTTATTGTTTCATGCAAAGAGTAAAATTTTATTTATTCAAGCTATTAGTTTTTTTTTTCTCATTATAATTGTGATAAAATTAATTACAATATTAACTGCTGCCCTCAGAGATGAAAATGGACAATGCTCATCTTATTTATTCACATGTTGACTTGGGTTCTCTATGCAAAGAATAGCTTGCAAACTCTTATCGAAATTAAATAAGGGATAGCACAAAGATATATCCAGAGTTATTGCAGATTTTGTTCTTACATCTCATCTTCAGAGCATTTAGTAAGAGGATAATGCCTCTCGACCACCTTGCACACTTAGTAAACATTTCATTTCTTTATTTTAAATAATTATAATTAATAAGAGTTTTTATTTTGTTCAAGTGGTATTTTCTAATTTATATTTGTAGTAGTAATATATATTTAATGAAAAGATAAATCCTTTGAGATCTTTAATTTATTTTTCTTCTTCAGAAAATGCTATCACTGTTGACTAAATAGATTATATTACTATACTGTAATATTATATAATAAGAGTTGTTAGGGAAAATTTATTTTACCCAGCTCTTTTTTTATCTTTTTTTTTATCCCTCTTCATTCTAACAAATAGGTATATAAGAGTTTTTTTTTTGAGGGGGGGGGGTAGGGGTCCTGTTCAAGTATCTTGTTTTTTTTTCAAACAGATGTTTTAAAAAAGCAACAAAAATTATTTCATTAATTGCTATATAAACTGCAAAAAGTTGCTTTATAGTATGGCTTTCAGGAGAACTCCTCCAGACACTCGTTTCGCGTTGTGGCGGGTACTATGATTACGAGGAAAGGTCACTTCAAATAGGGGTGAATTGTTTTGTCTTCATCTTAGCGTAGCTTGTGGTAAGTAAACCATTCGATACCTTCTTTCCTCCATTTTACCCCATTAGAAATGTGCTCTTGCTTGTTGCCATAGCAGCAGGCAGCACCAGACTTTCAGTCTGGAGAAGTTCTCCTCAAAGCCACACTATACCATAAACTGTCATTCAGCAAAATAAATAAAAATCAGGCAGTCAAGCCAGATAGCTTGAAATTTGTTTTGGTTCTACTTAAGATTGTTCCATTAAGGAATAAAAAATTTGCAGATAGATATTGTCCTGAAATAGGAAAATATTAAATTGATAAATATACCTGCGAATTATTTGACCGCTCCTTAAAATTAGAATCATTTTTTAAAGTTATAATAGGTGTCATACAGATATTTTATAAACTTGCAATTATCTTTAAGATCTTCCAATTTTATTGTTAAATCATTTTTATTATTACGCTTTTTATCCACTAAAAATATGTTTGACCTTTTGGAATTTGCAATTGTGATCAATTTAAATAATAAGTTTACTATTTCTTTTTAAAATTAATAAATTAACAATTCTGTTTGTTTCATTATTTAATTGTTCCTTTGAGATAGAAACCTGGTTGTATTCTGTATATCATTTAAATGAAATTTATGGTGGTACAAACTATTAAGTTATTCTGTTCTGAATGTGTATTATACAGGGTTTGACATGTAAAGAACGAAACAGATTCTTAACTGCTGTATTTTATTATTATTATTAAATTGGTGTTAGGATGATTCCAAAACTGTATTCATGTATATTAACTTCACTAATTTACTTCTATTGACTTCTTTATAAAAACATTAATTGGTTTAATTTTACTCGCTGTAAATTTAACAATTGATTATTATTATTTTTTTTTTTTTAATTTTTAAACACACATGAAACTACTATACTACTATATAATATAATATACTATTTCTGTATGTATAGACGTAAATGAAGAAGAAGAACAACAACAACAATCTGTATGTATAGAGTTTAAAGTGTTTTTATTTCCAGTTTTAATTAGTACTGAATTATGCTGTTGTAAATTTGCGATAGATGACTATAGGTTTATTAAATCAAATCAAACTACATTTAAATTTGTCTTTGAAAGTAATAATTAAAAGAAATTAATGATAAGCTGAATTTTGTATGACATATTAGCTTATTCTATTTTTTATAAAACTAAGTCTATTTTGAAAATTGTGTATTTTTTTCCGACTGATATTATTCTCATTTCTTTTTCTTATTTCTTTTTAGTATGCCATGTGCACCAGGGTAAGATATTTCAATAATTCTTTCTTTTTATTGAAATAATTACACCTTGAAAAACTTTATTGCTTAGTTAAAAAATGTTAGTAGCTTAAATCATACTTAACTGTATTTGTGGTTAATCTTTCTATTGCAATTGTTTGTGTTGTATAGGTTGAACGAACAGCATCATCTCCTACTATCTCCCCTAAGCCTTGTGAATATGATGATTTGCTTTCACTTTTCCCTCGAAAACCTCGTCCAATATCTCGCCAAATATCAGAAGATGTCCGTGTGAGAAGAGAAAGTTTTGGTTCCAGTCCGCATTCACAACATTCTCCCAATCAAGGTTTAAATTTAGAATTTTTTTTTTAATTTGAAAAAGTTGTTTGGAATTTAATGAAAATAAAAATTAACTACTAAATAAAAATTTTTTTTAGATTGCTTTTTTTTTTTTAAAATTTTTTTTTATTGCAAAAGCATTTGACTTTACATCATTGGCCCCCATGCATCGAAGATGCATGAGATTGGAGCATATAAAACAGAAACTGAACCATTGAACAATACAAGAACAATAAATACTTGCAAAACATGAACCACTTAAACATGAACGAGAATCAGTTGCTGGATACCAATTGTATCAACTCCCTAGCTCGCCAATATCGACTGAATAAATCTTCTTCATTTAATGAAGAGCAACTGAGCAAATGATCTTTGTCCATCTCAAAGTTCTGGTTGCACGTTGTGCACATAGGACAGCCAAATATACCAATTCTGTATAGATGTTTAGCAAGGCAGTCATGTCTAGTCTCCAGGCGGAACACCGCCATTGCAGTGGATCTAGGGGAGTTAGGAATTTTATTAATTGAATACCTCCATTTCTTATTCTTGATTTCTTCTACTAAATTAGCATCATAGCTTTTCTTCACAATATTTTTTATAATTCTTTTAATTGATGAAAATGATACTTTGGCATTACCTGCCTGCAAAATCTCTGTTCCCTTCATTGCTAATGTATCAGCCCATTCATTACCATTTATTCCTATATGAGATGGAATCCACTGCAGAACAACAGTCCTTCCCTCAGAAGCTAGGAGATCAATATTTCTTCTGCAGGAGTCAATAATATTTGACTCTGCAACATTATGTGCAGCAATAGCCTGGATGGCTGATAGAGAGTCTGAAAAAATAACTATATTGTCAATCTGAACTGATCTAACCCTGATTTGTTCTGTTGCAATTCTAATTGCCTCCAGTTCTCCATCAAAATTGGTCTGCAATGGACCAAGGGTGGCATAGAACGCAAAGAATTCTGAATACACACCAACACCAACATTGTCAAGCATTTTCGATCCGTCTGTATAGATGTGAATCCAATTATTTTTTGGATACCTGGTATAAATTGTCTGTAGAGCAGCTGCTTTTAGTTCACAATCGAGTGCTGAGGATTTTGTCATAGCAGTCATCAAATTACCTTCCTTTCTAATAGATCCCATTTTTTAGATATTTTAATAATTGTTTCATTTTTTTAAAATTTATTTTAAGCTGAAGGTTTTAAAAAGCAATGCTAATTTATATAAACATTAGAAACCTATGTTTTTTTTATTTTCTGTTTTAAAATTAAGCTGCTTCTAAGTTGTTGTTTGTTTTTTTTAACATCTTTATTTTAAATAAAAATGTAAGTTCTATCCAAAAATTGTTCAATTTATTTTTCTGAGAAATTGGGAATTATTATGCTTAACAAGCATTAAAATGCAATTTTGTGCATTTTCCTATCTGAAGCTTACATACGAGAATTATTCAATTACTCTTTGAAAATGCAAATGATAACACACATAATATTAAAAAAGTTTATATATAGTTTTTTTTTATTTTTAATTCTTTTTTTTTAGAAAGTCTTTCTTTTTTGTTGTTAAAAGTTATAACTTTATTCTTCACATGACTTCATTGTCATAGTCAATTGAATAAAAAAACTACAGTTTACTCAGAGCAATGGAAAAATAAGTTTTTGACTATTATTAAACACGTCGGTTTGAAAAGTTCAACACTGAAAGAGTTTGAGACTGAATTATTTGAAGTTATTTTCCCATATTTGATACTGTTTACAATTGGGCTGTATATGCACAAATAATTCATCTTTTGCATGTCTTTGGGGAATGACTAGTCAACAATGACTTTCTCTAAAATAATGGACAAAGTGCTCGAAATAGTTGAAGCTTCAAGCATTTCATAAAGTATAATAGTATATTGAATTTGGCATGAAAACTTGATTATGAAAAAATCATTGTCAAGATAAATGAGATATTTTGCTCATTTTAGAGTATTCACTACAGGGTGTATCAGTACTTTTAACAGCAAAATTGCAGAATAATTTTTAAAATTGGTATGAAAAATTTGTTCTTTGGATACTGTTTTTACTTTGTAACTAAATAAATGACTCAGAGGAATATAATTCACATTGAAGGAAGAGACAATCCTTTATACAAATGCAAATTTTGAGTATCTTCTGAAATCTTACTTTTTAGGAGGCTTAAAAAATAAGGGAAATACTGGTATGTTGTGCTAAAAGGAAATTATATTGAACATAAAAAATGTACTAAAAATAATTTGGTTCTTCTATTATTTTTTTTTAAGGACTTACTCAACAACTATTGTATGCATGTTTTTATTATTTCTTTCTCAGAATCTGAGTTATAAATTCAATGTATTATGTTGAAAGAAAGCCATTTCCTTTCAACATTTGATTCACTCTATGACTTTAAATTGTGACTAGTAGTTATTTAAATTTTAACCTATATTATGAGTGAAAGAAATAACAATGCAGGTTTATCCAGATTTGTGAGTTTGTACAAGTTTATGGATAAACAATGTTTCCCTTTGTGTCTAATGAAGGATACAGCGGTGGTAGAAATTAAGAAAATTTAGTCGCTGGTCTGAGGCTCAGTTACTAGGATATATCATTAGTCCGTTCACTTTTTGCTAGTCTATTTAAACATATCTCTATGATATTTTTTTCCCAAGAAGCTAAAGGGAATTGAAACCAAAAATTACAATACAGAGAATGTGCAATATCACAATCATGTTAAATCTGCTATTTTGTGACAATAACACTGTCCAAGATATGAAATTAAAAATAATGATTAAAGAAACAGCATACTTTCACATCAATCGCTAGGCCTTCTTGACCAATTATAATTATTTGATAGTAATCAGATTCAAATGTTTAGTGGTCTTAAACCAATCAACTCAAGTTAATTTCGAATCCTGTAAATGTATAACAAAGACTCCAACCACTAAGGATTCTCAGCAGGGTTGGCAGGTTTTTGACATGTGACAGTTTTTGACAGTTTAAACCATGGCTTAAACCGTCACGTCAAAAACCTTACTGTCAAACATGTCGAAAATGTCAAAAACCTATATTTAATTGTGAAATTTAATTAATACATAAAATTTATCTATTTTTTTTATAAAGGATAGTGTTTCTAAATATGTTCTAGAAAACATAAATTTAAAATTTTGAAGAAGCACTTATATTTTGAAAAGTAGCCAAAATCTTGTACTTTTGAAAGTTCACATCTTTTGTAATATTATGTTTTCATTTTCATGTGTTATTGAAAATCTGCAGTGATATTATTAAGAAATTTATTTAAAACCAAATTTAGTGCATAATATAGATTATACTAAAAATTAGACATTTTTAAAGATAAACATTAGCAGTTTTGTACATTAGACATCTTTTAAAGAAAAATCTTTTAAACAGGTTGGGCGCATGCAACATTCACAATTAGGGAATTTTTGTGTATTTTTAGCTCTTCTAAAGTAAACTGGGGGGAGGGGGATTAGTGAACCGCTTTCAACATACTTTGTTTGGTGGTGGAAAAATGTTCAAAACTAGTTATGTGCTACCGTATGCTGCGAGGAGCAAATGAACTAGACTATTGAATTTTGAATTAAATTTCTACTTCCATCATTTTCATTTTGATTATGTAGTGTGATGCATGTTCTAATTTTTAAAATTATGTATTTAATTAGGATAATTAAAAAATTTCCATAATAATTTGTTTAAATATTTCATGGATCAGTGACTGTAATGTTCTTCTGTTTAGTTTGACTTTTGTGATTGGTTGTTAGTTTTTCAGAAAAATCAGTAATTCTGAATTTTAAATCTTCAATTTTTTTAAATTCATAGTTAACATAAGACAATACAAATTTAAGTGCTTTCTGTTAAATACACAGAGTAGTTAGTGTCGATTTACAGTATATTCAGCCTATTCATTTACTATGCTGAAAATTTAGTTTATCCAAATACTTGTGAATTTCATTTTGCTGAATACTATATAGTTTTGTTGAATATCTAAATATTCAGCTGTTGAATAATTACTTCTTGCTTTCAAGATATGCATTATTTGTATTCTTAATACAAGTGGAGAAAAAAAAATTAAGAGATAAAAATTGTTTTAAAATGATAAGTGTAATAATTATAAATAAATATAATAAACAATATGAATTATATTTATCATTATTCATAAATATAACTACTTTTAAATTCAAATTAACATACTGGATAATAAAGATATTCAGTCTAACATTAATTTTTTTTTTATACACTTGTATCAAGTTTGTATTTATACAACATAACTTGTAAGTTCCTTATAAATATAAATATTAGTTAAATGTTCCTTATATGTCAAAAATGCATGGTAATAAACTTAATTTTCTTAAATATCAAAAAAAAAATATTTTTTTCAAAATATAAATATTAAAACAATTTTTGTGCACAATTTTTCTGCACATGCATTTGAATATAAATTTCTGAGATTTTAAATCTGTTATTTTACCTTAATTTTAATAAAAAAATATTTTAAAACCTGCTGATTACCTATAGTATAATTAAATTTCCATATAATGCATGGCAACTGTTGGTAGTTTTGAAGTTTATATATTTTCTTGGCAAACTTCAGTTTTTGACGTTTTCGACGGGTTTTTGACGGTTTAAACCAGTATTATACCCTTGTCATGTCAAAAACCCAACCCTGATTCTCAGTAATTATGAAATAATTTAGCCTATTACTGCATACTACAGCAGGGTGCATAGCTTTCTTAAAAAATGCTTAAAGGCTCTTATTTTTTATTTCCGTTTTTTTAAAAGCCTTTAAAGGTGCTTTTATTATTCGAGGTTTGTGAAACGTGCTGTTTTTGAAACATAAATATTTTTAAGACTATCATATTTTGAATATGCAAATTTCATATTTGAATTATCACTTTTTGTGTAATCAATTCACAACGATTCCATAGTAATTCCAAGCCATTTTCTGATAGTTTTCTTCCACTTGTTTTTTAAATTAAGAAATGTTTAATGATGTTATTAAAATATGTGAATTTTTTATTTGAATAATCGCTTTTGATGCACTTGATTCCTGCTGCTGTCAATCTTCAATGTCAAACCCCTTCAATGCTGTCAATCGTCAATGTCAAATCCCAATCTTTTTCACCCATTTCTACTTTTTTCAAATTCCAATATTTTTTATGAGATGTTATTAACTATGCAATTTTCAAAGTTTAGAAATCACACTTTTTCATTATAAGTCCACGTTTTTTTCTCATTATTTTTCGCCAGTTGTTACTGTTATTCGCGTTTCAGCTGTTATAGCAGTTATTTATTGTATTGTACACCATTTTCACCATGTTTTTAAAATTTTGATATTTTAAACACATTACGTCACATAAAGTTTAAAAAATTGGTAATTCTTAATTTTTTATCTTTAATTATTTTATGTCTTAAATTGACCCAAAGCTATTTTGTTGTCAAACTATTGAAAGGGCTGAAAACTATTAAGTTACTGTTGAAAATTTTCATAGTTACTATGAAAACTGACCATAACTATTAATTTCTTTCTTATCTTTTCAGTTGAGTCTTCCAACTTACTACGGATGAGGGCATCGTTAATGGGTCAGTCAGCTCCTTCTCTTTCTGCTTGCATGGTGAGTTGTTTTTGTAAACGAATTATTTTATCTACTGTCATTCTTCTAAACAAATACATGCTTACAATAATATTAAGAGATCAGATTGTTGAATTCCTTAATATTACTGATTATTTTAAATAGAAGTAATAGAATTTGTGTTTTCATTTTCAGAAGGATCTAGTCCCACCTCGTAGAGGAAGGTAAATAATTTTTTTTTTCAGTGTTTAATAATAAAGTAAAAACGAGTTATCTGTAATCTAGTTTATAAAGTTATCTCTAATTAAATTGTTGTATTTTCAGTCATAACAAATATATTCTTAAAAATTATGTATTCTTAAAAAAGAAGCAAAATAAAAGATGGTGAAGCTATCACATAACTTATTGGATAGGCTGTTGTGTGACTTCATCGTCCATATGTTCTTACAAATAACTTTTTAGCTTTTTATAATTAAGCTTGAATTTCAGTTTAAAACTATTTCCTTTCTAAAATTACTTTTAATTGAACTACATTACTGAACTACATTAAAACACAGTATTGTCTATCTTAGCAATTTGCATGAATCTCACCAGCTGTATGTATCTCTAAAAAAGTAATGTAACCTGGTTAAAATATGAGAGATTTCTAACAATCAGCTACTTCAGAAACTTTATCTGAGAAACATGGTTGAAAACCAAAATGTCGCAGAGTGCAATGTAAAAATGAAAATAATTGTGAAAATCATGCCTTTAATACAATAAAATAAGTTAGACGGAAAAATCATACAATGAAAGAAAAAAATCCAAACTTTCTTAAGAATTTTTTCAGAATTTAACTGCATATTTTAAGTAAATAATTTAATATTTTTAGTAAAAAAAGGCTCTTAGGATGGTATGGCAACTTAATAGTTTAAGCAACTAGCATTGTTTAATAGCAACTAATTCGTTTAAATATTATTGTGTTTATTATTATGCTTTTATTTATGTTCTGCCAATAAAGTTTTATTTTTATTTTAGAGCTGCAAGGAAGTCTTTTATTAATACTTCTCCAACATTACCTCGCTGTCATTCACCAGTATTGCAATGTAAGTGCATTGACTTCTTAAGTCTTCTTTAATACATTTTCTTTTTCTTTATAAATTTAAACTCATTTTCTTCCAATTCTTACTTTTTATTTCATTTTAACAGAGCATCTTAAATTAATTTTTATTTTATTTTTAAAGTAACATAGATTTTTTATTTTTAATATTTTATAAATTAAAAAGTTTTTTATATAAACATGTATAGTCCGTCTATGTAAAGAACTCCCCATGCCATTCGTCTGGAGTGATGGCGGTTTCTATGGTTATGAGGTTTAACTATTTCAAGTAAGGGCATTGGGTCATTGTTTGAGACATGTATTGCTTCTGGTCGGCTAGAGAAAGGTAATCAAGGGAGAAAGAAGCTCCCCTCTTTAAAATGCGCTATTTCTTGTTTCCACAGCGGCAGATAGCCTTAGACTTTGTGATGAAAGGAATTCTTTCTATAGACAAACTATACTCATAGAATTGCAATGCATTTGTAAACATTTATGTGTTTGACCTTGAAATTTCATTAAAATCATAATTACTTTGGTGTTTGATTTTAGCTGTGCCTGTTGACAATTTAAGATCCAGCAGTCATACAGTTAATGCTCCTGTCAAACGGTAAATTATTATTATTATATTATATTTTTTTTTTTTCTTTTTTAATAAATGAGCTTACTTATAAATTTCATTGATCCAAGTATATTCCCTGTTGAACTTTTTGAGTTATGTTACTTCACTATCTGTAAAAGTTAATGCAGTGTTATATAGTTATATTTATAGTTTATATATATTATAGTTTATATATAGTGTATATATATTATAGTTTATATATAGTTTATATATTTTATTGTTTATAATTATAGTGTTAAAGGGACACTAAAAGAATTGCTAGATAACAAGTTTTCGAGGTAACAAGTTCAGAACTAAATATGTTCTTAAAAGTAGAAAAATATATTCTAAAGTATTACTCGAAAAAGTAGAGTCATGAAACATAAGAATAACTACTATTAAATATGTATGTAATGATAGTTGATTATAAGTCTAAATGCATGAATGATAATTTTATTTTTAAAAGTAAGTCGAAAACTAATTATGCCTTAAATAGAAAAGAATTGGTTTACAATAAGCTTACATCGTGATTTTTCCGAAAAAAATTCATTTTCTATTTAAAAAAAATTCACATAGCAAGGTTTGAGAAGAAACTCTTCGACAAAGGAATTCAAATTAGCATTAGGTGGATTAAGAGTGTACAGTATATGGTTTTTAATTTTTTTAAAAGGATCGATTATATCAATTTTCATCATGTGGCTCTTACTCAAATTAAAAATATAGTGTGTTTTCAGATGTACTCATATTTTCATTTGATTTTCTCTATTCTTGATGAGGATTAAAGGTCTCAAATTATTTAGTAATCCTTAGTGGCAAGATTTTCTGGAGATAGTAATTGGTAGTTATAGGGTTCAAAACATTCCTTAATAGATAACGAGTATGTTTATAAAAACATTTAGAAATATATCATTATGCTTAAAAAAAATTTTAACTTTATTTTTCATTTAAATCATACACAATGCACAGTTTTGCTGTTCGAGTAAAATAATGTTGTTTAAAAAAATCCTTAGGTATATATAATACAAAAAAAAGTAAGGAAAAAAAATTTTTAAAAAAAGAAAAGAATATGAAAATTTAGTTAGAAAATAGATCAACAGAAAGATATCTCTTCATTAGCAATGCTCAAACACAGTGCTTTCTAATTTAGTTTTAATGTAGCCAAAGTAATATCTATCACTTTAATAGTGTGAGGAGCATCAAAGAAATGATTCTAAAAAAACTGATTTTGTAAACAAAAATTCAAGATAAATACAAAATAATGCACAAATAGAAACATAATAAAGCAAAAAGGGAGAATGGATGTCATGTACTTACAAATAATTTTCAAAAGTGATTTAAAAATATTTTCATAACTAAATTGCCAGATTACAAAATATGAAATTAAAGCATAAGAGTAAGTTTTAAAAATTGGTACATATGTATTGGCTGAATCCTATCATTGGTATTAATTCTAAATTTAAGTGATTGTTCTATTTAATGTCTTTAAAATTAATTTAAATTTTAGTTTCTGTCCTATAGTTTTATAAAATGAAATTTATAATTAAATTTCTTTTTTGTAGTGTTGATGGGCGTCGATGGTCCCTGGCGTCTCTTCCATCTTCAGGGTATGGTACAAACACACCTGGAAGCTCTAATGTTTCGGTAAGTATTTTTGGATATCAATCTTTTATTCAACAATTTAAGAAATTGAATTATAGTGTAAATAGGAAAAACAAGAGAAATTTAAACAAACACAATCAAAAAATTGAATAAAACTTATTTATTGTATTAACTTCATAATAAAATATTACTTTATAATTACTCTGAAGTTTTTTCCTCCTTTATTTAGCTGGAGTGATTGTATTCTGGGTGTATCCCCAAATTCGGGTTTTTCGTAGCATTCTTCTAAGCCTAAAAGTTAGGAGTAGGGCACATGATTTTTTTCACTAATTTCCTGAAATTTTGTTACTTTAAGATCATTGGTTCATGCCGTTCTGCAAATCAAAAGCTTGTAATCTGGCAAAATTTTCTCAAAGTTTGCTACCTAAAATTTCGAATATTTCAGTATATCCCATTAACGACACATTTACATGCATGTTATTCTTCTGTTAATTGGTAGAAATCCTCAAATTTGATTCCTTTAATTTGACACACTCACCATTTTGAATATTTGAAAGTGTTTTGGGATCTGCTAATATCGCGATTCTGTAATACACGACTTTAACATTAAATATAGACTTGAATTTTCGTATTGAGCTAATTTAAAAGTTACTCATCGTTATTTGTATTCTCACTATTTAAATAGCCAATATCGTGATTTTTATTCAAGTGTTTTTAAAATCCATTATCCTGATTCATATTCACCTGATTTTAAAATCCAATATCGCGATTCTTGTTAGTGCGACTCTTTTTGTTCCTAAATTAGTTACTATAAGGTGTGATATTCTTCATTGGTAAGTAATTTAATTTTAAATTGATATTGAGTTTTTGCACAGAAAATTTTCTGGGTTTTTCACTTCATTTGTGTCACCCTGGTTTAGTGGCAGAAAAATCCATTTTAATTTGATGGTTGTATTTACAAAAGGTTTTTATAACTTTGTCCTTTGAAAAATGTTTTCTATTTCTAACAGTGTTTGCGTTATTTCTATTATAGTCTCAGTGCTCATCCCAAGAGAAGTTGCATACTCTAGCACATTCTGCAATTGATGATGGCCATTGCTCACATACTCATTTCAGCAGTAATGAAAGTAATCCAGGATTAGAAGAAGATGGAAGGCATTCCCCCATTGTCCGACCTAGATCCAGAAGTCTCAGGTATTCTTATCAGATTAGGGAAAACTAATTTGAACTGTTTCATTTTTTTATACTTTTAGCCACTTAGCTTTTGTAACCATACCTAAATGATTTACTTAAGGAATTTTCTGCTTAACATTTTAATGGTGAAGGAATGAGTGGATGTAAGAGGCGAGTAATATTTTAAAATAAAAAATTTTTTAAACGAAAATTCCCTTTTATGAATATGTATGAAAAATAAAACGCTTAGTGGAAGAAGGTTCTAAAAAATGTTTTGAAAAATTCAAATGATTTCATCAGAGTTGGGTTTTTGACCTCAAATACCTGGGGAAAGTTCCTTTTCTATCATCGGGGACATTTTATTCGAAATCCAACTACATAACTGTTTAAGTCATGCACATCCATATATAACTATAATCTTTTGTAATTAAGATTCATATTATAATGTATACAAATCATCATGTATGAAAAATATTCCCAAATTTATTGAAACTATTGATTGGATTTTTTTAAAGAAAAACATAGTGCTACTTATACTTTAAGATTAGTATGATTTGATATTTTATACTGTAATTATTAAGTTTATATTACAGATAATAACTATGAGCTGTTAATTGTTATCAATCCAAATATTGATTTTAGTTTTTTTAAGCCATGATCTATTAAGATTTTTTAGCTTAATTGAAACTAATGTGGCCATCAATAATTGTCTAAACTAAAGTTGTGAAATTCTTTTTGATTCTCAATATTTGCTGCAAAGGCTTTTTATGCTCATGAACATTATCTATTCATTATGATTTCGATATATTTCCTTATTATTAAACTAATTATTATTTACACATAAAATGCAAATGTTTGTTTAAATATTTTTTTCATTTGATTAAATAAAGTTCTTAATTAAGTTATTATCAATATTCAGTACAGTTATTAGAATAATTTTTTTAATTTACATTGTCATAGTTTTAATTTATAATTAGTGATCCGAAATTTGATCTCTGTATCAGTTAAAAAAAAGTTACTTCTCATTTCTTTAAAGGAGAACGTTAGTTCAAGATCAAAGCACAGCCTTAATTTTTATTCTATCTGATGGAAAGGCTTTAAGAAAACAAATATTCCATCAGATTTCATACAGTTTGAATGTCTACATTCTAGTCCAGCATTAATTTAAGGAACATTTTCGAATTTCGGTCTTAATCATTTAAAACTGAGAAATATATTTGGAGTACAGAAGGCTTTGAATCTAGAGCTTTGTATGTCACATGCTCTAGCAGGGCTGATTGTGCTCCGGAAAAATTCCGGATTTTTCGCTAACAGTGATCCGGAAGTTTCCGGAGATCGAAGGTCCAGACGTTTCAAAAAATCATTCATCACAGAAGTATCCGGAAATCAAATTTTCAAAGGTGAAACTTAAAACACAGTTTATTTTATTTGTTTGTAGGGGAAAGCCAGAGAAATACTTTATAAGCATATATTCATGATTAATATTCATTTTTTATCAGTAAATAGTTGTTATAATCATAAACTCAAGAAAGAAGGATATATTTGTAAATTTTAATTACTTCTCCAGGTCATCATAGGTATGTGTAAATGGTATATTTATGTGTAAAATTTTAAATGTATGTTAAGTAAACTAAGAAATATTGAGAAAAAGGAAGAAAAAACTTGTTTAAATTTTTTTCAAATTTTTCAATTTAAAACTGTTCTTTTTTTTTTTTAACTCAAGAAATTTCCCGAAATTTTGACTTGGGCTCACAATCACCCTTGCTCTAGGGAAAGGAGGAGTTAGAATGAGAGTAAAATAAAAATTGATTTTATACATAATGGACAAAACTACTGTTAAATGTTTTTAAGGTGATTGTTTTTGCATTTTTGTTTTCAATAACTAAAAAAAAAATTTGCAAATTTTTATTTATAATTATTTAATTTTTAAATAATTATTTTCTATATCGATATTGTGAATTTTTGACTGGAAAATGTCTAAATGATTGAAGAACATAATAGATGAATCACTTATAATTTTATATGTACTTTTCTTTATAATTACTTCGTATTTATAATAGCTAATAATTATTTTCTGCCCTAAAATATTTAGTTTTTGACATGGTAGATGAAATCATCAATTGTCAATTCTGAGTATCATGTGAAAAGATCATTTTAAGTTTTAACCTTATTAAGCTATGTAGCATTAATTTATTTTGCCAAATCTTTAAGTTTTGCTCATCTCAGTTGTTAAATATACTGAGTTACAATCAGAGAGTAAAAGGAAGTTCGAAGTGCATTTGGCAACCAAAATTTGATTAAATTAAGAAAGTTTTTGTGATATTTATTATTTCGGAAGAAAATTAAATTACCAAGAGAGCAAACATTATGACTTAGTCACTTTAAATTATCATTTAGTGATTTCACCTATGTGATGGCCGAAAATGAGAAATAAACGCAATGTGTGATTGCTTTTTCCTTTTGTCAATGCTTGAACTTTAAAGCTTATTTGCTCAAATTCATTAAAATGTTACTCCAATTTTTTCTACCCATTCAGCTCTTCCAATAAGTGTTACTTTTTTAAAAAATTTTGATAGAATTGCTTTAAAAATTTTATTAATAAAGCAAGTTCCAATAAATTAGATACAGAATAAAAGGCTTTATAGTAAATAATTTTATTCATGCTACATGCCTCCTTCATTTACTCATTCCCTCTTCAATACATTCAATATTTTTCGGTAAGATTTCATTTGTGAAAGATTCAATAATATCTATTTATTTGCAAAAGAGATTTTTTTTTGAAAGGAAAGATAATGTGTGTGTATTTTTAACTAAATTTCTTTGTGTAAAGTATTTAGTTTGATTTCAGTAAAATTTAGTTTGTAGTAAAATTATTGAAATAGTGACTTGTGAAACAATATATTATTAATTACTACCTATTATTTTCAGCAGGCATGTGATTTTTTTGCATTATTTTCTGCTTTTTTCTTTCTTTAATTATTTTTTTTCTTATCTTCTTTTTTTCATATGCCTTAAAATGCTTAATAAGCGCATACTTAAACTTTTCTATAATGTGTACTTAAATGTATAAAAACTATAAAAATATATGAGTTGATTTCAAATATAGGAATTGACAAAAATATTGAGTGTTGGTAACTTGGAAATTTTCTTACTGGGAGATCACGTACCAATTTAATTTGAAATAAGGCATAAGCTTTGCCAATTTATTTCAGACTTTTATGTTCATGCTTTTTACTTAAGTCTCAGCTACTATTTAGTTATGTAATTTAATTTGTTCATTAATTAAAACTTAAAACACAATTTTTCAACATTATTGGAACATTTTTCTAATACTATATTTGTTGGCTTGCTGATCTCTTAATGATATATCAAAAACAAAAAACTGATTAGTTTTAATAAATATTATGAAGTGTTGAATTTTGTTAGCGTATTTATAATAAAATTGAATAAGCACTTCAATTAGGATATCGTTAAAATTGCTGTTAAATTCTGAAAATTCAAAAGAAAAAGAAATTGAGCAATTTGAAAATATATAATAAAGTAATAGCTATAATTATGTTAAACAATGAAACTAGGAAGTTTGAAAATTCTTTTTTATTATAATTTGAAATGTTTCCATAAATTAGTTTAATATTTTAATTCTTTAAGTAGTACTTAAACAAAAATATTGTATACTGGTAAATTCTCTGTACACCAAAAAGGCTCTTATTCTTATTTTTCCTATTCTACGTATACTTTTAATCATTATTTTATTGTATACTTTCTTCACTTTCTTCCTCTTTTCAACAATCTCATGCCTGTTTTGATTAGAAAAAATATTACTATAAAAATTTTCATAGATTTCATTTCATTAATTATTATAATTTTATTAACTTAGAAAAAAAATAAAAACTTTAATGTAACATGTAAGATTTTTATTTTATTTTATAGATGCTCTTAATTTAGCATTTCAGACATAAATATAAAAATCTTAATTATTTTTCTTACAAATTTGATTTATATACATGTTTTCACATTGACCTGTTTATTATGCAATTTTTTTGGTATTAATTTAATCAAAGGATATCCAAAGTTATGAGATACAATATTTTAAAATGTTTATTTATTGCCCATATGATGAGTTTTCAACCATATATTTTTAACAACGGTACAAAAAGTAATTTTTCAAATAATTCATCAGTTTTTATACTGGGTTTATTTGTATTTTTAGGATTTTGAAGTCACTAATGCAAATGCATGTGCTTAACACTGCTCTGCATAATCTTAATTGCATGCTTTACTAACTTTTTTAATATGTCAATAATTATTATTTTGCATCAACTAGAAATAACAATTAATGCATATATCTATTTTTGGTTAATTTATAGCTCTTATATTAGTTGCTAATTTAATACTCACTGCACAAGCTGGATTAAAATAAAGTAATAGATTTTATTATTGATTTGATAATCTCCTTTTTCTTTTAAAGCAGGCGTGGATGGTGAATCTTTATTTTTTTTATTGATTTAGAAATAAATAATCATTATTTTGAGCATTATATAAAACATGTGTCTGGGCTGTTGGTGCATTTTTTTTTAAAGGAATTTCTCTCTCAACATGAACTTTTGTTTATTTTTAGAGAATCATTGACATTTCTGCATAGATTTTAATTTGGATTCCTATAATTAGCTAAAATATGTCATATAAATTAATTGTGTAATTTTATAAATAAAAGATTATACAGCTGTTAAACAATGAAATTATAGTTAAAATTTTACTATATATGCAGTCATTAATGCTTAATAATCAAAAGGCTTCAGTTTGTGCGCAAACCCTGCTGATCAAAACAATTGGGAGCTGTTGCCTGTTCAGATTTTCTGATCATTATATTCATATAGTTTAAGAACTGTAATTATGACAAACTGTTTTTATTGTCCAATAATAGTATTATGTCAGTGCGTAAATTACCAAAGCGTAAAATTCACTTTTTTGTTGAATTACGAAACATTGTTAAATAAAAGAATAGATTTCTATCTTTCTGAAAAGCAGCTTAATTTATTTGAAAAAATATAATTAAGTATTATTAGTATGGAATATTTTTACCTTCAATTACAATTATTGCAATTGCAACAGGACTGACATTTTTATTATGTTCATGAAATTAAGATTTTATTTTCTTTACAGAATTATTTTTTAAATTTGTTTTTATTGTTTTGCACGTAATTGCTTCATAGCACTTTAATTATAATTTACTATTGTCTTACATGATGAATTTTAGTCTAGTTCTTTATTTTGAGTTTTAACATTTTTCTTAAAAGTACAAAATTATCTGAGATATAATTTTCTATTTCTATGTTATTTAATTTAAACAAAACTTTTTCACTGTAATTCTTTTGTTCTAGAAATTCATTTGATAAAGCTTTTAACAGTATTTAATTGTTTTTTTTTTTTACACAAAAAAATTTGTTATTAATCTTAATTTTTACACATTCTTATTTACAAAATGCTTATAAATATTGTTTGTTTTAGCAAGTAAATCAGTTTTCATTGGAGATAACTGCATGAATTAGACTGGTATTATTCTAACCTAAATATAACTAGCATATAATAGATTTTAGTTTAAGAAATAGTGGAACTTTAATTTTTAGATAAAGAAAAAATAATTGCATTTTCGAATATTGTTTGAAATAATTAATAGCCTTGTATGACTGGTGTTTTATAAATCACATTTAATGCACTCTCATATTTTGTAGTAATCTTCATTAAGAAATCAGCTATATTTATGCTTATTATTTTCTTCTCATTCCTCCATGGTTTAGCCTGGCCTGGTTGTGTCTTGCACCTTTAGAGTAAGGGTTAATTCTTATTTTATTTTATTGTTATTTAATTTTTTTTTTTATCCTTGCACTATTTGAAAAAACTTATTTCATCCATTTGGGCTCTTGTAGAAAAATTGTAGTCATGTATTTATAGCATTAAATTGATGATTCAGTCTGTCAGTTATGTAATTACTTCTTATTTAATGACACTCAAATGTTACACAAGGTATTTTACTACTAGCATTATCATTTTATTTTCTGACTTGTGCTAATCCGGGTACCTGCAAAAATCAATTCTTCGTCTCAATTGCAAAAAAGAAAAAAAAAGTGCTGTTATGCGTGTCAAGTGAGATATCAACAAATAATTGTTAGATATGTAATGTGAGCAGCATGCATTATTTTGAAATACTAGCAAAGCTTTGATTAATAAATGGAGAAAGCATCTTTCTTGACTATTTTTTACTAAATGCTGCTTTACAGAGCAAAATCCTTCATATTCACCTAAAAACACCAAAACCACTTTTATTCTCAGTGTTCTGCTGAGAATAAAATCTGCTATTTAAATGACATAAAAGTTTTCTTTTGGCAAAAATCCTTTTTTTTTTTTTTTTTTTGTNTTTTTTTTTTTTTTTTTTTTTTTTTTTTAAATAAATAAATATAATTAAATACCCAACAAGCTTTGCGTTCAAATTAAATATGTTTAATTCGAAACTATGTAAAACATGGAGCAGTTATGGAAAATGATAAAGAAATGCTGAAAAAGAATTATTGATAAAGTAATGGTTTTTATTTTTATTATGTGTTAAATATTGTGTTGTCTTCATTTAATTTCAAATCAAACACAAACTTTTGCTATCTCCTGGTATAATGCTGATAAGGGTTAGACATTATTTTTAAATGCGTAAAATAAATTTTATTATAGCGATTTTAATACTTAATTTTTTAGTTACAAGTTTTTTTTTTTTTTTGCTTAAATACTTCTAAATTGTTCAATTGGTGTTATAATTGGTTTTAAAAGCATTTGTCTCAAATTTGCTTCATAGAAGTTTTAAAATATCTTAAAAGTTCGTTGGAAATTTTCTCTTAACCATTATGGTCTGTTAATTTAAATTGGGTTTCATTTTTTTCATAAAAAATTTTTTAATTGTCTAATGAAAATTTATCGAAAATTTTCAATTAATTATTTAAATTATCTTTAACTTTTTTTATGCAAAAATTATTTCAGTTTTCATGCTATCTTCATATTTCTGTTAATAATTTAATAGTTAAGTTAAAAATAGTTTATGAATAGTTTATAACTCCTCATTTAAATCTCAGTTTTTTTTTTATTTATGAATTCTTCATTTTTAGTAATCAAATTTGTTTTATTCTTCAAATTTTGCCTCTTACCTATTTTTTTTTAACTTATGAAGAATTATTATGAATATTGTTATTTAACAAAACCCTCTTTTTTTATCCTTATTTGAAAATTAATGACTGATGCCATGTGGATGAAATAAAGTTTTTTCTATTGTCTCAGTAATTTCCCATTGTAATTGATACAAAAAAAAATTATACATTTTTGTGGTGCAATTAACATCTTTATTCCTACTTTCTGCATGCTAGCTAAGTTTTGCTTTAGTGCTTTCTGTTAAAGGTATTTGTTGCTTTATTAGCTTTTACATGCATTATTCCCTTGTATTAATTTAATATGCAAGCATATAAACTTTAAAAAGTGTGCAAATAGTGTAAGTATTGACTTGTGTATGTGTTCATTTTTTTTGTGAGAAGTATTTTGTTTCTGAGTAAAATACTTTAATCTGACAACATCTTCCAAGTCAACCCAGTTTCTTTTTACCTTAATTGTTTAAAAATAAATAAAAAATGTACAATCAAAGGGAAAACATTAAAATAGTTGAGAGTTGGCTGGTTTCATTGTTCCCTTTTGTTACTTTAGCTTGTAAATTTATGTCTACTACAGATTAAATTTCAAAGAAATCTTAAGAATTTCAATAATAAAAGTAAAATAATATTTTCCGAGACACATTGAATTTTATTTCTCATAAATAACATGATTTTTTTTTTCTTTTTTTGAACAACTATAGGTATATTTTTAACAAATTAGTGTAATTTTTTCCTGAATATTTTTTTCAGTGTATCTTAAAATCAATTATATACTTTAGAATGTATTATCACATAAAATTTTCTCTTAACCATTATTATTACATAAAATTTATTTAGTGCATCATTGTTAAACATAATCCTGTTAAATAGTAAAGATTGCGAATTTCAGATTTGATTCAGAATTGAGAAAAAAAAGTTTCTAAAACATTTTCTTTTTTGTTTGTTTAAGTGTATTATTATTAGTTTATAATATTTCACCAGATAAACACTTTAAGTGCTTCCGAGAATACAATTTTGTGGTCTCATAAATCTTCACTTTTGATCAGCATAATTTTGTTGACTATTATATTACTGTCTCAGATTGTTAAATTCCAGTTAAAATTAAATTTGAAAATTTTTCAATAAATCATGTTTTTATTACAGTGGTCTAAGTGCTTTGGTATTGCATTACTTTAACTGTTTTAGTTCTGTCTGTTTAACTCAAATACAGAATTACAAGCAACAGAAAGTTATCAGTTATTCTATCTTATATACCCTTTTCAAAAAAAGGATCTATTAAGAGTATAAAAATTACTTCATCATGGAATATTATTTTAAATTTAGAGCTTTTGAGTTTATATCTTTTAATTTTCTTATGCTTTCTTTTTATATTACATTTTATATAAATAACTTTTGTTAGTAACTTTACTAGTGCAATGTTAATGAGTTTCACATTTCTTTTCTTCGTATCTTTTAAGTTCGTAACCAAATTTAACAATTTTTGTTTTATTTTATGTTTTAAAAGCTTTATAATTTTTAATTAATGCTTGATTTAGCTTTTAATAACATTTTTTGTTGCTCAGAAAGTATATTAGTTTTTATGAAAATGAAAGACTATTTTCTTATGGTGAGTGAATATTTTATTGAATTACCTGCCCATTCTGGTTGAATCTCTTTTGCCCTCTCTCTAGCAATATCATTCCACACTTAAAATATTTTTGCTCTTTGCTGGCAAAATGCTAATCCAGGTGATTTTTAACCCTCCTATTTGAAGTTAAGATATTTCTGCCAAATTTTTTTTGTGGAGACCAGAACATTATTGTAGACAACCCACTTTTTGACCAGTGTGACGCTGTGCTTTTATACGCTTGAGAAGCAATTCACAGATGATGTCAATGCACTGGCAAAAATTTCTTTCTGTGAGAACATGAGGAACCCATATGTCAAGCTTTGAGATTTAAACTAGATGTTAGAAATAATAATGAATGGTAAAATTAGTTACATTTAATCTCCCAGTGATCTCACCAGTTGTAATTCACTGGTTTGTAATGATTAATGCCTTTATTGTATCTTCGTCAGCTTTAACTGGCCTTCCAGACTATAGTGCATCTTCAACATCAAAATTGCCAGATTGAAATTTTGCGGACCAGTTTTGGCGCCGGTGTTCTTTCAATAGATCTTCTTCATACACATTACATAATTTTTTTCTTGCTTGAACTGCATTTTTACATTTTCGATCGTGAAAAAATAAAATATGCCAAAAAGGCCGGTTTTCACTTAGCATATTTGAGCATATTGAGCAAGCAAAAATTGCTGCTTAAAACTGATTAAACTTTTTCCCGAGCTAGCCTTGCTGTATCAGCTCTCAAAATATGTAATAATTAGGTGCCATAAGTGTGAATTTAGCTGTTAAAAAATACAATTTTCTTTGTTGGGATAAAAACAAATACTTTGTAAACAATCTAATAATATTTCATTTTTAACTTACAATAATTTTTGAGTTTAATGATTGCTGCCTATCACATATATGAATAAGTATGATTGAGAGGTAAGTAAATTTAGTATGTGTTTAAGTAGTTTAGCTCAGTTATATGTGGGCTGGCCTTAATGTTTTACCTTATCCACGATGTACTCACTTTCTGTTTTGATTGAAATGTTTCTGTGTTTCTTCCCCCTTCTTTATAATGCCTTTATATGCAGTAAAACCAAGATTATCCAAACTTAATCATATACAAAAATAGAATTGTCCAAATTCATTCTTATAATTCTATTTATCTATGCTGATTCTGAAGGGTTTTTTCTTCTTCTTTTTTTAACTCTTGGTGTTGTCTTAAAGACTTAAAACACTTTTTTTATTGTATGCCTACATAAAATTGATTATTTTATGCATGTAACAAATTATTGTTTTATTGGTTGATGAAGTTAGTTGCTTTAGTTTAAAAAAATAAATAAAATAAAAATCTGAAAGCTGTAATTTTTATTTAATTAAAATCTGCTTAGCTTGACCATCATGGTTTCGGTTAAAATGAAGTCTGTTCTGTGCAAGAGATAAACAATATGTAGTTTGATTAAAATCAGAACGAAAAATTTACAAAGAAATAAAAATCAATTAAATTAACTTAAAAATCTATTAAATTAGCTTCTGTCAGAATTGAACGCTGCTTTGAACAAATTCACAGAACGAATATCTAAAAAAAAAAAAAAAAAAAAAGAGGCGAAGAAGTACTACAACCTGGGGCAATTGTGCATGTGGATTTGGAAATTAAATAACTTTATACCCATATGACAAAAAGATATTTTTTAGAAGAACTTAACAGATAGTAATTTTTTTACAAAAGGAAAACTAATTTCAGAGAGTGAAAATAGATTAAAAAATTATTCTGCTTGTATAATGCAAATATTTCAATTCTTTTAAGTTGGCCCAGTTCCAATCACTTTAGATAATCAAGATCCTACTGTATATATATATTATAGTTAGCTTTTTTTTCATATTTGAGAATTTATTTACAAGTTTGATTAAAATTAATCATTGACAATCTATATTATCTTATAATATTCTATTCTCTTATAAATTTATAGTAACGAAATGTTTATTTTAATAAGTATATGGGCATAATCTTATTATCTAAGAATTAAAAAAATTATAAGTACAATATATTAAAAACAACTGAATGTAATAAATATTCGTCATTTCAGATAGTTTTTTGTGAAAGAAATGTTTCAATTACGGAAAGTAAAATCAATTGATGTGTTATATATGTTGCACTGTTGCTATTCATTAATAGAAATTTTCTATTTAATGTTCATTACATGTTAAGTATGTTACCACTTGTTTGTTTTAAAAATTGTCGTTAAAATTTTATTTGTTGTTTATTATATGTATAGATTTAGAATAACTGTTGTTTGGGTCTGTGATACTTGTAATATACATTTCACAATATGTTTTCTATTATAAAGTTATATTCATTGTCAATTTTGAAACAGAACTTGAAATATTTATATTTTTTTACAATATCTTATTTAATTTCGCTTTCTTCCTTATTCAAGTTTAATTGTTTTATAAATTTACTTTTTTCCTTCCTCAGTAGCTTCAGCTTAACATAATATTATCGTTGAAATTTATTGATGTTTTTTTTTTAATATAATGTAATTATTTTTTGACTAATTTCAAATTTATGAATATCTGTGAACGCAAGTTGTGTTTTAATATATGTTTTATTTCACTCATTGAAATTGGTGCCTTTACAACGTGGGAAAAGGTTCAACTAATATTTCTTTTCATATGCAAAATAACTACATACAGTAAAGCAATAAAAAAAGATTTATATTTAATTAGTACAGAAATATAAAAACCTGATTATCTTAAAGCAAAATATTTTATTCTTAAATTTTTGTAAAAAGAGAAACTTGTTTAAGTAATGCACTTGTTCTTCATACTTACTGTTGTGAGCCTCAAGGGAAAAAAATTCACATATTCCATAATATGTAGTAATTTTTTTATGCATATAAGTTTTTTTTTTTTTTTTTTTTTTTTTTTTTTTTTTTTNTTTTTTTTTTTTTTTTTTTTTTTTTTTTTTTTTTTTTTTTTTTTTTTTTTTTTTTGAAGGAAGCTTAAATCCATGTAATAAGTATAATTTATTTTGATATGAGTTGCAATGTCTAAATCAATTTTTATTATTGCTTTAAAATTCACGATTCAATTAGTCTTGTTGAGTAAATATGTTGTATGAATAAGATAGAGAAAATTAGATATATATGAATAAAACTTGAAAGAAATGTAGTAAAATTAACCAGGCCATAGTCCCATTTTAAATCACCTAACCCTTCTACATTTATTTGGGTTTTGACACTTTTAGAAAGCTATTGTGTAAAGGGGCTTTTGTAATGTTTTACTATTTTTAAACCTGTTATAAAGATAAATTTAAAGTCAAAACTAATCAGGATCATTCTATTCCATAAATCATATTCTTTCCATCAGTTCTAAATCTGAAACTGCCAAATATAATTGGATTTTTCTATTGAATTTGAATTGTTTCATTCTCTTGGCATGACTTTATCTGATTTGGAAAGTTTTAAAAAAGATCCCTATAAAAGTTTTTCACTTTGTTTATTGTTTCTTTCAGAATTTAATTTAGTAACATTAATGTTAAATAATAAGTAAGAATCTTCATATAAAGAAAGATTTAAAAAAAAAAAATTTTTTTTTAGAATAATCAGTTAGAAATTTTTCTCATTTTTGAATTTTTATTTTTATTTTGAAATTAGATTTAAAATATTTTAATCTAATTCAACAACTAACAATGTTCAACAATTAATTAATATGTTGTTATACATATCTGGACTATTCAAAATTAGAACTGTCTAATTAAAATTTTGAAATTCTGAATGTAAAGAACATAGTAAAAGTTTTTTTTTTTTATTCTAGTTCATTTTATGTCAAGCTCAAGTGAAAAATTTAGCAGTCAATCTGTATTTATAGGTATTAGTAAAAGATTGTCATATCTTTCCAACAAAAGAGCACAAAAAAAAGGAACAAAATTATAGAAATTTCAATCACTACCCTTTCTCCCCCATCCTTTTGCCGTTTTCTTTAGACAAAAACCCTTATTCTTATTTACCCTTCCCCTGTGATTGGGTTACAAAATAAAAGTAGGGTGTGGGAAAACCGATAGAAAAAAAGAAGTATTGAACAAAGCCATAGCTAGTATTAGTCATTTTTAACCATGTATGCAATAATTTTTAAAACGTGCAGTTTTTCAAAATGCTAATATTTTTCCCATTTTCCATATCGAAAGTCGGGTAATTTTTGATACGTGCGATTTATAATGCTATCAAATTTGAAATCAAAGAGAAAGGGGAATACATAATTTTTCCCACCTATGTTTTTTGCACCAGATTATCGTCACCTTAATGTTTGGAAGGTCTGAATCTCTTTCAAATAATTTTCACTCTTGTACATGGTTTTAGTTACCTCTCGATATGCAGTGTTTCTTCAAATTTTAAATGCAATCATTGTTTGACATTCATTATTATGACAGATAAATATTGTTAATATCCTTAATACTTAGCTATTCATTCTTTTAAATTTTTAATAAAGATCAATAGTATTTTTATCAATAATGTTCAGGTTTTTATCAGTAATGTTTCAGCCGCTAATAGGTACATTTTAGTTCTTCAGATTCTGTGAGTTATGAAACAAATATTGTGATTCACATGAAAGTGATTTAAGAATCACGTGTCAAAAATCTCATTAAAGTGATTTTTAAATCATTCATGTGGGGTTTGCATTAAAATGCTTTCTGAATCATACAAAGTTATACACATTAAGTGTTTTAAATTTTCAAATGGTTAAATTTAATCATCATATTTATCATATTAATTATTGCATTTTTTTAATGATTAAAAACTAATAATTGTAAACTTTAAATTAACACAGATAGTTTTGTTTTTAATTAAAAGTTTTCAAAACAATACAAGTGCATTATAATTATTTTAAGAATATGCTTACACATTAATTTAATATTTTATTTCAAGTTATTAGCTACAGAATCTGTTTTAGCGAATGTTATATAAATTAAATTAATGATATTTTTTTTTTAGAAAGTATGTCATTTTTTATCTTTTGTAGTTTGAGTGATAGCAATGATTTTTATTCTAGTCCTTTACGTTCTCCTGGTGTTGATAGTGAAGTTGTAGCTATGAATAATGTCTACAAAGAAAGGTTTCCTAAAGTGAGCAATTTTGATTTTTACTTATGTTTTATATTAGTCTTGAAAAACTATTTAAAATTGATGGATTGTTTATTACTTAAATTAATAAAAAATTTTATGAAAATTTTTTCCTTTTTTCGTTGAACAGCTTTTTCTTACACTTGCATTTTATTTTTATTAACTTATTTTATTGTTTGATGAATATTTTGTTAAATGAAACTCTTACTTTAAACAGTTTTTTTTAATATATATTATTGTATAATCTAGGCATTGTATGCCAAATACTTTAATTTTTGAGTTTTGAATTAAATAAAGATATTTGAATCTAAAAAAACTATTTCTCAGTATATTTTTTAGTTTAAAACTTTCCATGTGGTCAAAGTTTTTTTAATATTTTTTTCATTCATAGTATACAGTTGTATTTTTTATACTTTCATAAAAAGTAACACTTTAAAGTAAATTAAAATCGTAAAATATATTTGTTTTTTCGATTGTACCATATTTTTCAAAGCCATTATATATATAAGCTGGTAATATGTTTAGTTTAAGCCAAAAGTAATATTTCTGTTTAAAAGCTTTGCTGATAAAACTATTTAATTCAACATGTATAAACACTATTAATTTATGAATTGTTTGAGACACTTATTATTGTTTTACATTCTCATTATTTCTTGTATTTTCTAAAGGCTACACAGCAAATGGAAGACAAATTACATCAGTTTTTAAATGAACACAGGAACTATGATCATAGTGATTCCTTAGATGCAGTGGCTCGCTTTGTTCATCACCAAGTCATTCAAATGGCTGAAGATTGTCTTTCTCAATCTCAGAACCAAATTGTAACTTCACAATATTTTTATGAGATGTCTGAAAACTTAGAAAGACTATTAGTCGAAGTAAATCAAATTTCTGCTCTAATATTTAGTTTTTTTTATTCTTGTGCATTTACTTAAGAATGCTAAAGCATATTTTTATTTTAATAAAACTCTGATAAAAAATTTGAAAAGGAAAAATTATTTTTTTAAATTGAAAAGTTTTTGTTTGTCTCAAATTGAAAATAAATAGATAAAGCTAATTAAGATGTCCCTACCTTTAGACTTTCATAGGAATTATAAAACATCAGAAATAGTTGTATAATAGAATTAGAATAGTAGAAATCATTTATATGGGAATTTAAAATTTTGTGTTAATCATAAGTTTTTTATTGCATATAATATAATTACATTGGTTTATCGTTTAAGCTTAGTATTAAGAGAATGTATGTCTTAAGTTTTTTTTTATCTCAACAATCAGTTACATTTCTATAAATGTTTCTATATTGTGCGTAGCTGTGAGAATTGAATATCTGTAAGACCTTCCTTATTCTAAGTAATTAGAGCCAAGGAGAGAATACAAGGGTCGTTTACTTCAGGAAATCAAAATTTTTAGATTACTTTGGATATTCATTTTCAAAATTAAGCATATATTTTTTCTAATATATATTTTATAAATGTTATATTTAAATAAATACTTCCCTATCTACCATATATATAAGAATATTTTAAAACCTACTCTAGATTACAGCACATTTTAAATAGAACCCACTAACTAGCTAAAATTATTATTTGTTGTGTTAGTTCCTTGTAACCCAAAATGTAAAAAAAACTTCTTCCATCATATTAGTAGCATAACATATCAGGGTTGGCAAGGTTTAGGACAGAATGGATTAATCCACGGTTTAAACCCTGGATTAAACCGTCCTGTCCAAAACCCCTTTGTCCAAAACTGTCCAAAACCCTTTTACTCAAATTATGTCACAATTTTATCTGAACAATATTTACGAGGTAAAATAAACACAGAACTAATAACATATTGATAATTAAATCTACTACAGAATATTTGTGTTTAAAAGTATAATGTTTTATTAATATTGTTTGACTCTTCAATTTAAACATTAAACAAAATCATGATTTATCAGTAATCAAGTTCCTCTAATTCAATAGTACATAACTGAAGTTGGACCTTGCCATACAGGTTAAGCTATTAGGGACTAAGTGCTTGGTTAGTCATGAACAGGTTTATTTATCTATAGTACTATTCAAGAATACTGTTATTTCATTCATGTTCAATTCTTTTAGCATAGTGGTGATACATCACCAGTGTCAGTAACTGAAACTGATGTTATGCCCTTCAAAACTGTTAATACATTTTTCTGTTATTTTGTATTTTCAATGTAAACTAATATATTTATATTTAAAAAAAATTTTTTTTTTAAAAATTGATGTCTTTTTTATCATCCTGTGATCCAGAAATTATAAAATTGTTTAAAAAAATAATGTGAAAAATAAAAGGATAATTTTTAAACGAATTTAGTATTTTTTTAAAAAAATATATTATTTTTTTATATTGCATTATTTATCTTTATGCAAAAACATTATTTATCAGTATTAAAAGCATATTTATATTTAAAGGTTTAGGTATTCACTTTTGTTGCTCAATGAATTATGGAGCTTCAAAAATTATAAACCTTTTTCTATTATATTATTTTCTTTTGATAAGTTAAAGTAAATTGTATAAAAAATATCAAATATTTATTGAGACATGTAATTATTATGTGTACAATGGTTACAGCTATAGAATTTTTATCTTTTAATAAAGTTCAAGGTTATGGACAGTTTTACCCAGTTGAGGACTGTTTTACTCAGTTCAGGGTTGGAGTTTTTGCTGGCAAAAAGGTTTTTTTTGCCAGGACAGTGGCAAAAACTGGTAAAAACCGGCAAAAACCAAATTATCTAAATTGCTGATTAAATATTATTACAAAATACTTGAAACAAATTTAAATCAATCATAAGGAATAATAATTTTCATACATTACATGAAAAAATTATTTTTAACATATTAATAAATAATATACCTGAGGGTAATAATTTTTAAAAGATTGAAAATTTTTGATCTCTTTTCATTTTAGAATCCTAAAATAAAAGTTTTTTTAGAAATAAATATTATTATTTGTATAATACTATTATTTATTATAAAAAATTATTATTTGTACAATAAATAACTACACATGTTGATAGATATTTTATGCTTTAAATTATATTTGTATTAATTTAAAATAAGTTCATTTCACTGGAAAAAAGAGAATAATCACAAATTTTCCTATCAATAATGTTTTAAACTACTAAAATGATACATTATCATTTAATTATGAAATAATAGTTTTGTTAATTTTTTTGTAATTATTTATATTCATAGTATATTTCAATTTTAGGAATAATTTTGTATAAAAAATGTGTTTTTTTCCTCTCATTTTGGAAAATATAGGTTTTTGCCACTTTGCTTGGCAAAAACCTGTTTTTGCCAAGACGGTTTTTACCGGTATTTACCATGTTTTTTTCCACCTGCGGCAAAATCTTGGCAACCCTGACCCAGTTGAAGACAGTTTTACCCAGTCGAGGACAGTTTTGCCCAGTTTAGGACAGTTTTACCCACGTGTCCTGTCCAAAACCAGTTTAGGACGTCCAAAACCCCAACCCTGTAACATATAGGTGATATAGTTCATCTTTCTTTCATTTATTACTGTTGATATATATATCATTACTCAAGAATGCCCTCATACACACATGCATTTGTTTTCTCAAGTAAAAAGAAAAAAAGAAATAGGAAAAATACAATATGAATTTGGTGATAGTTAAATTTTTTCCCCTAACAAAAAAAAAGAAAGAAAAAAAGAAACTAGAACTTACTATCTGAAATCTTTCAAAACTTCTTTAAATACTCATTTGTTAATAAAAATAAGTATGCATTTTTAAGTTATCCCAATATAATAACTGCTTAAAAAGAAGGTGGAAAGAAACTAAAGGGGTAAGGGAATTGGAATCAGTTATGAGAGTAACCTGTGTAAAAGAGGTTTTGATAATTGAGGTTTAATCTGAGTTCTCCCTAGTTTTTGGAAAGGGCAGAGGGCTTCCTCTCAGGAAAGAGAAATTTACTTAACATAGTAAAAATTTTCTCAAGATGTGTAATGTTATATAATAATTTAATTTGATCCTCAAGATTTTTTTAACTTATCCTCTGATACCATTTTATGTCTAGATTTAAAAATAATAATTCTCTCTCATTATAGAAACAAAAGAAAAATTTGTAGGTTATAAAAATAATTAGAATTGCTAAAAGACAATCTCAGTACATAAATTTTTTTTCAAAAAAAAGCTAATTAATTGATAAACAACTTGAAAGCTTTTTTCTATAATAAAAATTTTAAAAATATATAAAATTATATAGTATAAATATATATAATTATAAAAAAAATAAACATTTAAAGGTGCTTATTTTTTTTTTAAAAAAAAAAAGGGTATCTATTTAAAAAATAATTCTAAAATTTAAAGTCATTAAAAATTTATTAATATCCCATGCCCCGAAAAAAGAGGTACAGTACTGAACCCGTTATCCGGAAATCAGAAAACCAAAAAACCGGAATTAAATTCGATAAATTTTCCCGCGATTTTTAAAAAAAAAAATTTTTTCCTCATAAAATTTTAGGATTTTTTTTTTTCTTTTTTTTTTTTAAAGATGTTCACCTTACCATCATTTTGGAAATAATCATTAGTGTATTACTTCATCGTTTTTTCTTCTTTTTAAGATTATTTCCAAAAAAAAATTTTTTTAGTTGTGTTTAACAAAAAAACGGCTTTTTGTAGCGATTCAGAAAACCGGAAAAATCAGTTATCCGGAATAGCGATGGTCCCGATCGTTCCGGTTCCCTACTGTACTTATAAATATTTATAGCAGTTGAGAATAATCTTTACAAAATAAATATTTGTAATAGTAATCAGAATTAATCCTATAAACACATAATTTTACCAGTGTATAATTATTATTTAAACTGTGAAATAATTTTTTTCAAAAATGAATATGAAAAAAGGGGCAGGCAGGGTGGGCCACCTTCTGAAAAGACTTAAGGATAATACAGGTTTTACTTTTTATGCATTCGTATTCTTATTTTGGCTGTTAGCTGTAACAGTCTTTCAAATGCTTCTTTTTTTAATGCAATTTTTTTTTAATCTTAAATGATGCATAAAAAGATAAAAGCTCATTTAAGAATAATAGTAATTTTGCCTATTTTGTGGATAAATTTCTTTTCATTTTTTTGATTCACTGTTTTTTTTTTTTTTTTTTTTTTNTTTTTTTTTTTTTTTTTTTTTAATTTATTATTTTTTTCATCTGCAAGTCTCTACTACAGAAACTTTTAGGTTTTAAGAAATTATTACATTAGTCAACCTAAGAGTTATCATGGAAGTATAATTTAATATCATGTATTCTGAACTTCATAAATGGCTGGTACATCCCTTATAGTAAAAGCCACTCTCCGAAGGATTGATCATGAAAACCACCAAATCGAGACTTGGTGTTTGGTCCTCTGTTTCACTAGGCTCTTCAGATTTTCTACCAGGCTCAAGTCAAGTGTTTTGCAGATCCGTAGAAATATATTAGGGTATGTGAATTTTCATTGAACCAGGTGAATATTCTTTCACTCTGATGAGTTTTGTTTTTGTCATCTTGAAAAAAAGAGTCATCAATGTCATGTTCGTCATGAAATGGCCGCACCTTATTAACTAGATTGTAAAAATAAGCACGCTGATTCATGTTAGTGGTTAAGTAACTCAATGAGCAGCCCCAATCCATAATATATTTGTAAAAAAAAACATCACACATTATAGGAAAAACACAAATTAAATTTTGCTTTTCGCAATTTTTCTGAGAGTGACTAATTTTTCATCCTGTGAGCTTGTTCTATGCATAGAGGGAGGATAAAATGACGGAATGAGATATTTCATAACTAAAGTTGTAGAATATGTAAAAAAAAATTTTTTTGTATAAAAGTAAGTAAATTGGAGTTTAAATAAATGTATTAGATTTTCGTATAATAAATAACATTCACTATAATATTCGTGAACAGTTTTAAAATTTGGGTAAAATTAGCTATACCACATTTTACTGCCAAAACGCTAATGTCTTAGCAGTATAAAAATAATTTTTTTGGCAATTGATGTTTCATTATGATACCATTTATAACTTTGTAGTGTCAAGAAAAGTCTCCAGGAGCTGCTCAATATCTCAAAGGTTTAATTAAGAAGCTATTGGTTATTATCTCACGCCCTGCTCGCCTTTTGGAATGTTTAGTAAGTGGTTTAATGTTTGTCATCATCTTTATCTTATTACTTACAATAACAACTTATAGATTGGATTATCATAAGTACTAACCGAATTCAAAAATACATTAGTATTGAGGATCCTTTTAAAAAATATTTTATCTTTTAACAAGACTTTTCACAAACATTTTTCATTTTTAAAACAATTGATATTTTTAAAATTACTGGCAATAGTGCATAACAAAGCATGTCAAACACAATAAAAATCGTATGTTGCATTATTATCACATTTTGCATAGTTTGCAATGTTTCAAGAACTTTTTAAGCAAACCAAAAAATGTTTATATGCAATTATAAAATTGATTTATCTTAAGATATTTTTTAAAAGAAATAATTTTTAATAATATTTAATTTAATAGTGAAAAGTTTTGAATTGTAAGGTATGCAAATTTTTTCATTGTTATTTTAACTAACCAAAAATTAAATTTTACAAAATCAGTTGAATTGTCTTTATTTCAATTTAAAAAGGTTGTGTGTCAAACATTTGATTTCTTGATAAGCCACCAACAGTTTTGTTTGTTTGTACATTATCACTTATTCAATTTTAATTATGTTTTTTTTTTTTCATAATTTTTTGTTCTAATTCTTAATTCTTTCTTATTCTTAATTCTCATTTTTTCTTAATTTATTTTTTTTTTCTTAATTTCTTGCTTGATGAACTTTGCATTTATAAGATGTATCCTGAAGAAATTTTTTACAATATTTTGGAAATATATGATTTTAAAAAAGTTGAACAAACTTAGATATCCCAAATTGTTTACATAGATTAAAATTATATTTATTTATAGACTTTATTAATGTTATGAAACAGAGTTCAAAATAAAATTCATCAAACTTAGAATACTTTGTTAGTAAAAGTTTTACTTTACTTTTTTAGGAATTTGATCCTGAAGAATTCTATCGGTTACTGGAGGTTGCTGAAGGACATGCTAAAGTTCAACAAGGGGTGACAACAGATATTCCCAAGTATATCATAAACAAACTTGGTTTAAATAGGGATCCTCTAGCTGGTAAGAATTTAAAAAAAAATTATTTAGCTTTTTTGTATTTAATTGTTTTGTGTTTTTTTTCTAAATAAATAAATTAAAGTATCGCTAACGTGCTTTTATTTAACATGACGCGTAGTGTTTTTGAAAAGTGTTTAAATCTGCTTATTTTCTTTTTTTAAAAGCTCTTAAGGGTGCTTTTTTTTATTGGGTAGTTTTGAAAAGTGCTTAAATTTGTCGTTTCGAAAAATGAGATTTCTTTCTTTACCATGTTAATTTTCGCCACGTATTATTCAAAAGCGGCAATCATTTTACATGTTTGATGAAATACTTATAGGTTTGCTTGTGCATGTTCTAAGCTGGGTGCCGTGAGATTCTTGTACTCTCATGTGCAACTCTGCTGCATTTTGCAAGATATTCTCAATTTCATGCTTTATTTTCCACCCCATGAAGTCAAACCGAAAAATCTCTCATTTTTTTTATGGTGCCTAATATAATCAAGAAAAGAATTCTTTGTCAGAAACTAGTTATTTTATCATGATCATGTAAAGTTTTTGAAAATTATTTTGCATTTTGTTTATGTATATATTGCTTAAAAAGTACTTAAAAGGTGCTTATTTTTTGTTGAAAGATTTGACTATGCACCCTATTTTATCAATTGATTTTTTATTTAAATTTCCATTTTTTCAGCGAGGAACCTGGTATTAAATATACATTATGAATATCTGATTGTAGAATTAAAGGAAATGTTGAGTACTATGCTAAATAAGATTCATTATAAATAATTCTAAAATAGATTGTTGATATTTACAATTAAACTAAAGTGTTTAAGTATTATTTAATGCATGCAAATATTTGTTTTAAATATAAAATTAAATAGTATATTAGTTGTTTACATTTTTATATGACACTTTACTTAAAAAGTTCTGTGGGAAAGCTGTAAAAAAAATTGGTGTGAATGGGTTAGTTGTTGGGGCTGGTGCATGGTGAGTTATGCTTAATAATACAGTCGAACTCGTTTATAACGAGCACAAAGGGACCGTAACATGTACTCGTTAAATCCGAGTGCTCGTAATAAACGGGTCCTTAAGACAGGCGTGCAACCAGAAGAGGGGGGGGGCTTGGGAGGTCATAAGATTGAGTATACTTAAAATTTAATTAATACTTACTTACTTTAATTACATTAATTAATTTAATTAAATACTTTTCTTAATTAATGACAACTAACCCCCTTCCCTCGCATTTCTTTATCATTTTGAAAAAAAGATAAGACAGAAAGACTAGAAAGATGAGAAAAAAGATTGCAAGACAGAAAAATATTGCTCGCTAAAACCGGGTCTTGCTCGTTCAAAGCGACTTCTGTTCCATAGACTTAACATTGATCCAACCAAAAATTCTCGTTTCTCTCGGTAAATCCGAGTTCTCGTTAAATCCGAGCTCGTCATAAACGAGTTCGACTGTAATAGCAAAATGGAAGCAATTAACTTATTAGATAAGAGAAATGTTACATCACAAGTTATTTATAATTGCCACTCATTTTTAATTTAGCAAGAATTAGTTTCATAATTTTTTTAAAAAATCTAATGAAAATTAAGAATATTATTAATGACTCCTATTCCTTTTTAATTGTTTTATGTATAATATTTTAAAAATTCTTAAAGTGCTATTTGAATTTCAGAGTTAAGTCAAGAATTGGCTAATGAATTTGACCCACAAGATCAGATTGATTATTTAACAGTATGTTTCTCATAATTGTTTATATATTATTTTACAAGATTATTTTTTTAGCTCATGAATTTTATTATTGTTATCATTCATGAAATATTTGTTTAATACAAGGTATAATGTAATAAATAATTAAAAATTATGTGCCTAGGTTTTCTCTCATATTTTGAAGTTTCTCACAGTGTATTCTTTGTCTTTAGAAATGTAGGTTTTTATTCTTTTTTTTATTATTACATATTAAATTTTTTTTGTTTTTCTTTTTTTCTTTTTTTTTTTTTGTTTCCATTCTTTTCTTTTTGATACCTCTTAACTGTGCAAGAATCTAAGATTTGACCAAGCTTGAATAAATAGATGCTGTGGAATTATTCATTTAAAATGTGAATTTTTTATTAGAAGTTATAAGGTATTAAATAAAAAGTCAATATTTTGCTCAAAATGCAATTTGTATATTAATAGCTCATTAAAATTTCAGCTACATTCTTTTGGCATGACCAAAAGTAAATAAAAAGTTACATAAATTTTCAATAATTTTTTTTTTTGGTGATTACTTATTTATTTTTTTATTTTGCTTCTTTAATTATATTTTTTTTCTTTGCATTTTTTTTGTTAAATGATAAGTAAAACAGGGTTGCCTTGCCACTGGGAAAACTTGTAAAATACAGGGAATTTAAGAATCATCTAAATTAAGAAAAATGCTGGAAATTTTGAGTTTTTCCTCATAAACTGGGAAAATACTGTGAATTTATTTATTATTTTCTTTTTTAAAAAATATAAACTTCTCAAAGTGCAATCAATGGGATGATTAAAGATAAGTCTGCTATACCATTTTATTTTATTTACTTTGGTATTTTTTTCAAGTATGTTTAACTGTTCTTTATTTCTCTAAGTTTTTTCTGTGATTAAAACTAGTATAGTTATCCTAATATAGTTCACACATGATCACTGTGATTATGTGTTTCATCTTAATTAACATGTGTGTAAACATGGTGCGTAGCATTTTTAAAAGGTGCTTATTTTCGTTATTTGAAAGTCCTTAAAAGTGCTTTTTTTCAATAGTGTGTTTTTAAAAAGTGCTTAATTTTTCCTTTTCGAAAATGAGATTTTTTTTCTTTACCATATTGATTTTTACATTGTTCTATTCATTGTTCTATTTCACAATTCATTCAACCACAATACACTTTGGCTTACCGCCGGTCCGTAATGTATGATAGTGCCAATCATATTACATATTTGATTAAATACTTGGGTGTCTGCATGTGTATCAACTATGCTGGATCGAGTGAGATTCTTGCACTCTCAGGTGCAATTCCGTTGCATTTTGCAAAATATTCTCAACTTCAGGCTTCATTTTCCATCCTCTGAAATTGAACTGAAAAATATCTCGATCTTTTTATGATGGCTAATATAATAAAGAAAGAAAATTTCTTTGTCTGAAACTAGTTATTTTATCATGATCATGTAAAGTCTTTGGAAGTTATTTTTCATTTTGTTAATGTATAAAATGCTTTAAAATATTATTTGGGTGCTTTTAAGGTGCTTATTTTTGTTGAGACATTTGACTACGCACCATGATAAAATGTTTAAGGAAATATAGGGATTTGTTTTCCAAATTTGATTGGCAACCCTGTTAAATGTCTAAACTGTAGTGAGCAGTTGAGATTCAACCTTGACAATTGTAATTTAATCATGTATTTACTCAGTGTGAATTTAGTCACCAACTTATACACCAAATGCACACAAATTTCACCAATTGAAAGAGTTAGCGACTTTTACACATGGAATAGATTATAGTTGAACCTTGATAACACAAATTTTTCAAAATGAAAAATTCCAAATCTCTTAAGAATCTGAATCTCTTATCATATTAATATTATAAAAAAAAACTTCTTTTAGCTGCATTTATTTATTTTTTTGGTGGCCCTTGACTTTAAAAAATATTTGATCACCTAATAATGATTTTTTCCCCTTATTTCTGCAAATTTTTCTAATCTTTCTTGAACCTTTAAAGGGAAAGAGTTTGTCATTGAAAAGAATTTGCTTGAATCATCCATTCCTAAAGATCTAAACATAATGTGTACGTAGATGTGTATACTTCCATGAAATTCGAAAGAACTTGCTAATTTAATGAATCCAAAAGAAAATATTACTAATAAGGAAGTAATTATTATGAGCAATGATGTTGCAATATCTAGTGAATCTGAAGAATCAGAAATATTTTAAGTGAATACAACATCTGGAGGTACATCAGAAGAGGAGAAGGACAAAACATAGGGACTTCAGCAAAATGTGAAATCATGAAAAAGCAAAAATATTGACACTGTTTGAAATAGCTTTTTTTAAAAAGTAATTGCATGTTATAAGCTTTTAAACAATCACAGTGAATATGACAAAGTTTTTACTATTTTAGTTAGTTTTTTTTTTGTCCGCATTTAAATGTATATGGGCTTTTTGAATTTAAATTTCTAAAAGACCTTTTTATAGATTGATATTTTTATGCATTTAAGTGTGAATCAATTGAAAAAAAAATTATCAAATGTTAATCATTGTAAAGAAATCTAGAAATGATTTATCCACTTGGAAAGAAAAATTGCTAATATATTTCAATAATTTATTTTTTCAAAAAACTGCTTCAGATGCTTGCACTTTTCTAATTTTAAATTTTTTTTCCCTCTAGAAAACAGGTAGAGAACTTTTTCCAAAATCAAAACCTCCATCAGAAAGTGACTTTGAAAATATTAAATTAATAAGCAATGGGGCTTATGGGTATGTAATTTTCTTTCAATCCTATTTCATCAAGAATATTTTTGAGTTGTATTAACACATTTTTCTGTTTATTTAGTGCCCTTGTATTACTACATATTGTCTCTAGTATTATATGTGTCAAATATATATTTATCAAGCATATATCTGAATTATTGATGTTAGATTGAATTCAGTAACATTTATTTATTTCTTATAGTTCTATTCCTTTTACAGACTTAGTTTTTAAGCTATTCTTTATAACTCATCAATAAAATCTGTTTCTGCGCCGAAAAACATATTCATTTTTCTTTTTAAGACATATATTTTTGAACTAACAATTGTTTAAATAATACATTAAGAGAATCACATGCAAAACAAAACTTTAGTTTTGTGTTTTGAAAAAAAATTTAATGTGGCCTTATCCAGTTTATTACAGTTAATTTTATGCAATTAATTTTGTAATTAAACATCATTTATTTCTCTTTTATATACTTTGTACATAATTTAGTCATTAATTGTTTATCATTCTAAGCTTTAAAATTTGATTTGTTAACATGCTCTGACCTGTCAAGCTTTTGTGTCTAATCTCAGAACTTCAAGCTAAAGTATTTTCTTAAGCTTTTTTTCTAACAAGCAAATGAATCAAGGAACCTATTCATAGTTTGCCTAAAAGCTTTCTTCTAGATCAACAATTTCGGTTCTTCAAGGATATTAAGTTTATCATTAATTCCTTGTTAGAACCTTTTTCTTTTTAATCTATTCAGCGTTTAAGATTGAATGGAGTAATAAGTTAAGTTTTGCTTAGACTCTTGCAAAGCTTGACTTTTAAACATCTTTTTTAAAGGTACGCTTTCGCGCAAGCTATTTTAAAGGAAATTAATGAAATTGAATTTAAAAAAAAGAAAATATCTTGCTGAAAATTAACTCGCATTGAGCCAAGATATTAGTCAAACATGAATGTTAATTCGAACTAAATGGTTGCATTTTTAAATGTAATACCTCTACTATAGTGATTTTTTAAAATCAAAACCTGCATTAAGTTGAATTTTTTTCATCCATTGATACAGAACAGAAATTATTTCATTTGATCTAGAGCATACTGTATGTGCCTGTTTTCATACATCCTGTTTTCATCATGTACCCCACAGATCTTGGTATCATAACACTAGACAATTCGATATTTGAAATAGCTTAACATGAGCAAAATACATAAAATGCACTCACAAACTATTCTTTAGAACAAACTATTACTTAATTTTCAGCTATCGATTAGCTACCATGAATATTGTCTTCGAGCTCTTTGCTTATTGTGGAAGATATTACTGGCAGTTTAGTTTTGCCTTTTATTTCTTACATTATCAATCCGAAAAAGTTCATCCTATCCTAAATACTTTAAACTTTTGTTTCATAGTTCATTTTGATGTTCCCTTCTTTCATATTTCTTTACTTTAGTTCCACATAAGGCAAACTCCCTGTTTTTTAAGGCTCTTTTTTTTTAATCACACTTTTTCATAGTTTTTCTTCATTTTTATTCTTTATGACACTTACAATGCCATTACATACATATTTAAAAAAAAATCACCTCTGAGATGATTAGCTTAACGGAAATTAAATGTAGAACATATCTTATCACATGAGCAGCTCAGAAATTATTAAGTCAGTGTTTTACTTTCATCAATTTGCTTTCAAAAAGCACATCTTTGGGAAAGTCATTTAAAAGTAAAGCTATGTAAGTCAAAGCAAAACTTAATAGCTTATTACTCCATTCGATCTCAAACACTAAACAAACGAAATGGTTGAAAAATATTTTAAAATGTCTGATACAATAATGGAAAAAAAAGTATAAAACAGCTTTTTTTGGATGAAGCATATGCGGATGATATCTCTTTTATGAGTGATGTCTTCATTCATGCTAAGATTGTTAATATGAGAAATATTTCAATTTTTTCTTTTTTTTTTTTTGAGGACCAAGTTGTATATTCATTGTTTTTCTGTGTTTGTGAAAGATTTAGGAAAAAATGTCTGAACTTATTTCTTTATATTCCAAAGAAATCAATTTTTCAGTTTAAAGTGTAAAGACATTTCAGAACAGAAGTATTTTATTCTTTTGATAGATGATTCGATACAAAATAGTGTAAAGTTAGTAGCAGAAAAAGTATTACCTGCAGTGAGTTGGCAAAGAGTATGAACTATTTCTCACAGCGAGAGAACATTTAGCCACATAATAAAAATGCAGTCTTAATTCTATTCTTTGCTAAAACAAACTTCGGGAGATGTTTTGACTGGGAAGGCAAACCAGAAAAAACTTCAGAATTTCTTTTTTAAAAAAATTCTCCATCAGTCATTCAAATCTCTTTTTTTTAAAAAATGGATGAATTTATTATTTTGCTCTCTCTTGAGGTGAAAAAGTTATTTACATAAATTTAAAAACGTATTTATATTTTAATAATCTGCTTAAACATTTAGTTTTAAGATCCCTGGCCATGCTAAAGATTTAGGTGCTCAAGGTTGTCTCTGTTCAAACTGTATGTCATTTTTCAACTTTAAACATACTTACTGACTATGCTTTTTAGGTTGGTTGTAAGCATATGCCTAGTTTTGTGAAATTTTTGAATATGGGCCATACTTTTGAATGATGAGTTATTTAATTTTTTTTATCAAGGATATTGTGTAAAACTTGAAAGCTACATAAAACGTATTTTAACTTTTAACATCAGTCTTACACAATTTGATGCATTTGTCTTCATTATGTGGTGTGTTCAGAGAACAGGCAAAGTCAGAAAATTTATCTATCTGGAAAATTTAAATGCCTAAACAATAACTAAGAAGTAATTAGTTTGAGTTCATAGTGCCTAAAAATCCTATTTTCTTTTTTTTTTCTGAAAGGTTAGTTTAAAATGGTACACATAATTACTGATATTCAGGTTCAGTGCAATTCCATGTCTTCTGAAAGCCTTAAGATATTTATAATTTATTATATTTTTATGTTTTATATATTTTTAAGTTAAACTAAAATTTTATCAGTTTAACGAAATATTATAATAGAGTTCATTGAATATTTATTCGAAAATATTGCTCAAAATCAATTTATTGTCAAAACCAATTTTTTTTTTAATCTTATGATATTAAGAGTGTTTAATTAAGGACATTTTTGTTAACTGGCTAGTATTTCCCACGCTATTTTATTCTTACCTATGATCTTTGAGCATTTACCAAATTGAAGAGGGAGAACTCTCAAATTTCACCATTGTAGTTTTTTTTTTTTTTTTTTTCAAGATTATTTTTTGGGGAAATAAAGTCAAACTTCTAATTTTGCAGCCGTTTATTTGCTTTTATTATCTCTAACATAGCAAATTTACATAATGTCATAATTTCTTTGCCTACGGTTTTACACATAGCAATGTTGAAATAACGTATGCACAATTTTGTTGAGCTAATATCAATTCTCTGTTTTTATTTAGGGCTGTCTATTTAGTGAGACATTTAAAGTCGAGGATCAGATTTGCCATGAAAAAAATCAGCAAGCATAATTTGATGCTCAGAAATCAGGTAGAACAAGTATATGCTGAACGAGATATTATGAGCTTTACTGATAATCCATTTGTTGTCAGTATGTTTTGTAGCTTTGAAACAAAGGTATATTATTATTGATTATTTAGTTTGAAACCTTTTTATCTTAATTCTTTTAAAAATGCTTTTATTTATGAGATACGCATAAGAACTAAAATTAAATATGTGTCAGTTGTTTGATTTTATTTTTATTCTCTTAAAATTAGAATGATCATATAATGTAGTTTGAACTTGAGAGGTGACAGGTATTAAAATATGTTAAGTTTTCCCAAAAAATGTTAAAAATATCTCACGTAATTCCTACTTGGTAACCATTCTAGAAACAAAGACAGGTTAAATCTGATAAAGATTTCAAGATAATGAGGTCATGCTGGGTATTGCAATTCATTACACCTGACATGCCTGCAAAATTTAAAAGTGCCATTAAATAATTTTTAAAACAATTTTTTTTTTCAATTTTAGTTAAAAATATTTTATTTTTGAAGTATCTAAGGAAATTGATATCTGTGAAATTATTTTGTAAGAAAATCTTTTGACATGCATTTATGTTTCAAAATAGTTTTGTAAGAGGTAATGAATTACAAGAAGATCTACTAGTTCATAAATGAATGCATGTAATAAATAAATTTCAAAATGCTATTGCAAATTCAAGTATAATATAATTTTGTGCTAAAAATACTTTTTGCTTATAACTGCTTGCGTATTCTTAAAACTTAGATTTATTTTAAAGTTAATTTTAACGTCTCTGCTGCAGGTGTTGTATGCAAGAACAGAAATGAAAAGTACTTATTTGTATTAAAAAATTTGTTTTTTAAATTTTTAATAGAGCAACATAAATGAAATGAAATGCATAGCTTAGAATATGATTTTTTGTTTGAAATTTATCTGTTGGTCAATATATTTAAGGGGTATCATTTAATATATTTTATATTTAATAAATTTTATGTGTAAAAAAAAATTACAGCTAAATTAAATCTTTTGTTCTAGAGAATATTCATGCTAAGACAAATGAATTTTAAGAAAGTAAACTTCATTTATTATTCATTAAAAGAAATTATTTCTAAATCTATTTTCATTGGTTGTAATTCTAGAGTTTGTAAGTGTAAGTAGTCATTTTAGAGAGTCATATTACCCAATAACTGTATTTTTCCCATGTAAGTAATGTTATTGCATTCCAAAACTGTTGCCTCAAATTCATAAACTTAAATACTCTTGAGTTGTACTCATTATAAAATAGTTTTGAGCATGAAAAATATAGAGTTCTTTTTAATTTTGAAAGAAAAGGCAGCTTTTCTTTTATGTATTAAATTTATTTAATAATATTGTTAATTGAGATTTACACTGGTTATTCATTTATTATTTCTGATTTATTTGCTATGCTAGAAACACCTGTGCATGGTAATGGAGTATGTCGAAGGAGGAGACTGCGCTACTCTTCTGAAGAACATGGGACCATTACCAGTTGATTTGGCCCGTTTTTACTTTGCCGAAACTGTTCTAGCTGTCGAATATTTGCATAGCTATGGAATCGTTCACAGGGATTTAAAACCTGACAAGTAGGTTTTATGTTGTTTTTTCTGCATATTCTAGTTTTAAACTAAATACTTTTCTTTAAAAGAAAATAACGCAACTGTTTATTTTGTTTAGCCTATTAATTACTGCCATGGGTCATATTAAATTAACAGATTTTGGATTGTCAAAAGTTGGGTTGATGAATTGTAAGTATAAATTCTAAATGTTCTTCGAACTTTTGTGAAGGAAGAAACTAAGTATTTTGTTTGTTTTTTAAGTGGCCACCAACTTGTATGAAGGTTATGTTGACAGAGAAACTAAACAGTTCACTGATAAGCAAGTGTATGGAACTCCTGAGTATATAGCTCCTGAAGTGATATTAAGACAAGGCTATGGTGAGGATGATATTTTATATTTTGATAGAAATTCAAATTAGGCCAAGAAAGTTCTGCCTTAGGTTTGTTTTCTTACTCATAAGGCTATGTTGTTGTTGTTGCTTATCCCCTTGGCCTAGAGCTCTAGACCAAGTACAGAAGATCATGTCGCATCAGCAAGTCATAGACAGTCCTCCATCGCTCATCAGTTGCCTCACAGAGGCACCAATGCAATCCAAAAGATGAGATGGAGAAGCGATGGCCGAGCAATGACAATAGGCATAGGTCTTTCCTGAGGGAATGTTTCTTTCATTATTTGATACTTAAATATGTATTCATTAAATAGCATAGTATATATTAATGTAGTCCATTAATTATATGAACAAAAATTTTGACAAACGTAGATTGAAATTTTGATATTATGCTTATTTCAGTTAAAATTTCCACGCAATACTATAAATTAATAAAAAAAATATTTAATATAATACTGAATTATTTAATATATATGTTACTTTTACTAAATTATTTAATATAAAAAATCTCAGGGCCGCCATTAACAACTTAAAAGGCTAATAAAACAATTATTTTGAAGAAAGGACTACTAAAGCGATTAAATTTGCCTAAATATTGAGAAAAGCAACTATTTTGCGTTCAGTTGCAAAAATTTAGCAACTTCTTTTATTAACTGCGTTCACACACAAAAAAAATATTAACTCAAGTTTTTTTTTTTTGTCACTGTTGCTAAGATAAGAATCGATTCCTCTTTGAAATTTCCATATGTGACGTCCTTGGTCAAAAAATTTTTAAAGTTTATTTTGATTATGTTACTTAATATTAATGCTTCTTATAATGTATTTCAGGGAAGCCAGTAGATTGGTGGTCAATGGGAATTATTCTCTATGAGTTTCTTGTAGGTTGTGTTCCATTTTTCGGTGATACTCCTGAGGAACTTTTTGCACATGTTATAAATGGTGAGAATAAAATTCTTGTGTTTAATCATAATCTCTCATTTTATAGTGACTAAACTTTAGGAATGTATACTTTAGAGTATCCTTTAATGTAATGTAACCCTTCAATGTTTAATAGAGTATACTTTAATGTATACTTTTACTTTAGAGCAAAATTCAAATTATATTAAACTGCATTGATGGAATTTGAACTGAATCAAGCTCAATTCTAATAAACAAAAATTTGAAAGAACTGATCATGTACTGTTATTTTTAAAATTTCATTGCTAAACTCTTTTTTTTTAATCCTTATTTTATTTTAAATTAAAATGAAGGAATATTAATAAACCCTAAGAGATTGATGGTTAACAGAAATCTTAACTCTCATCCTTATTAAACTTTTAATTATTCTGTTTTTATTGCCTATTGTTTTATTTTTGAATCATGAATCCATATAGATCAGGTATCTCAGTACTTCACAAAAAAAAATACAAGAAACAACAAACAAAAAGAAATTAATAAACAGACAAGACAAATCAAATATTTACAAACAAACAATCTTGACAAACAAAAAATTAGGAAGAGTTGAGTTTGATCGCAGCAGTTCATATCATTCTGACTTATTAGTGTAGATGGACAATATCATTAAGTCTCTCAGGCTCTTCTTTTCTTGTTCTAAAGCTGGGCACGTAAGGAGTTGTTCAACGTTCTTGACAGCCTAACTATACATCTGGGATACATTCAATGTGAGGACTTTCAGATGTTCTGACATGTAGTTTTAGCCTGTCTTGAGTCTGAAACTTGTTAGTGCTTTCTTGCAGGGATTCACCCATTCTGGGCATTAACTCAGAATTTATTCATTGATTTAACTGAGTGATCAGATTTGAGGATGTCCATGATTTTCTCATAAATGTGACTTGAAAGGCATAGGTTTGTTGTGCAAATTTTCCTCTCTTATCCAAACAGTTTATTACATTGGATTCCCAAATGCAGGGGTGATTGTGCTCAGGATAAAGTCTGGATTTCAAGATTTTTTTAGATCAGCAATCCATGATTTTTTTAGTAAAGAATTAGAATTGAATTATAAAGAAGGAAACTATTTTAATTACAATTTTTGGTAGGTAAAGAATTTATTTTTGTAGACAATATCTTTTTTCATAAATTTTTTTTCTGAGAAACTCTTACTGATTCTTTCATTGGTAGGTTGTCTGCTGTGATATTCAGATTTGCATTTCATTATTTTTTTATTCAAACTTCTTTGAAAATATCACTTTATGATGACTTCTGTTTTCTTTAAAATCTCTTTTTAGAAGTGATTGTTTTTAAAAATGTAGCAATTCTTTTAGGAATTTGAGATACTACCAAAAACTATTACTTGATAAAAGTGAAATTTTTCTTCCAAACTTATCTGCTTGGACAATTTTGTATAACTTTCCTCAAAATGTAACAAATTAAATTAAAAATGTAAAATTACCTTACTTTGTATAACATATTATTCTCGTGTTTGCTAATAAACTTAGAGTTAGAATTTTTCTTGAAATAAGGCATAAAGCTTTCGAATCATAAAGATTGCTCTTCCAGCTATATAAGAAAAAGAATCTGCAACCAAGTACCGCAAAGTAATTCTATAAAGAAAGTTTTTCTTTTGAAATTTACATCTTTAAAAAATGACCCTTTGTAGATAAGGTTTTTGCTGTCCATTTTTTATTTGCTTTTTGGAGATTTGTGAGAAATTTAACTTGTATTCTTGTAGAATTGGTTAATATAAAATTTTAACTATGTTTTGATATGTACTCTTGTAGAATTGGTTAATATAAAATTTTAACTATGTTTTGATATCTGTATTAAAAATTGATTTAAAAAAAATGAATTTTTTTCCTAGTATTTATTGATTTTTTGACTAAATATAAAATTATTTCATAAGTTTTCATAACTAATTGAATAAATAACTTTTTAATCTATTTATTTAACTGAGTAACAAAAATAGTTATTTTGATATCTGTTAATTAAAAAAAAATTACTTTTAGATGAAATTGAATGGCCTTCAGACAATGAGTGGCCAGCCACTGATGATGCCAAAGAATTGATTTCCCTTTTGCTTCAACAAAATCCCAGGGAACGCCTTGGTTCTGGTGGAGCTCATGAAGTAAAAGATCATATATTTTTTGATGAGATAGACTGGAATTCTTTATTGCGTCAGAAAGCTGAATTTGTGCCTCAACTTGATTCTGAGGAAGATACCAGCTATTTTGACAGTAAGTAATGGCCTCCAACATTTGAGGTTTGTTTAAAATATATTTTTCAATGGTAGTGAACTAAAGCAGAAATGGCAGTGGTGGGCAAAATATTTTTCCAATATTTTGCCCACCACTTTTGGAATGTTCACACTACTTTACTTTTGTAACCACTACGACTGAAACTGCTGAATTTCCATAATAGTTGGAGGTTATGTAATGGTATGTATTAAAATTTAAATGGTTCTTAGTTATGAATACTTCATGCTATTTTAGTATTTTATTTTAATGTGAATAATTCTTGTTCAATTCTTGTCAATATTTGAAAATTTCTTTTTATTATCAATCAAAACTATATTGCTTAGAAATTACAAACTTATTTCAATATGATATTAATAGTAATAAAGAGTTTTTTATTGTTCTCAATGCTAGTTAGAATTTTTAACAAAAATGTTAAAAAGAAAAATAACTTAAAAATGTTCACACTACTTAATATGTTTTAAAGCTTCTAATTTTATAACTTGGAATTATAAATCAAATAACAAAATATTATGAAAATAATTGGATCAAAAAGATATATTTTTAAAATAAAAAAAAAGGAATTAATATAATTCATGAGATTTTTTTTATATTTATAATTTTCAGATGTCATTAAGGTAGGCCAATTCTACATGTCTATGTTCCGTGTTAACTTTTCTGTATTACTTAACTATAAAATTACATTAAGCTTACAGATTTTCCTTAGCTTTCAAATCTATTTAGTTTAATATCCTTAAAATTTTCAGCACTTTTTGTTTTTACTTTATCTTTTTATGATTGTTTAATTAAGTTTTTTTTTTCTGATAAGGATTCGTCCAAGATTTTTTTTCTCATACTCTTCGAAATTTCAAGCTTGGAAAATTTTAGGATTTTCTTTATTTGCTTTTGGAAAATGCATGTCAGATTTAATTTTCTACAAGCTAACTAGTTTACAGTTGTAATTTTATTTTATACTTTACATTTTGAGTAACAATGTATTAAAAAAATTTTCTCAGCTCATTAATGTTCATGTGGTTCAAGTAATTTTTTTTTGTTATTCTTGAAGCTCGAACAGACCGATACAGTCATCATGACCTTGATGATTCTGAAGAGTTGGAGGATCCTGATGAAAGTTCATTGTTTAGTAGCTTTTCATCATGCTCACCTAGGTTTAGAAAAGTGTATTCAAGAGTGGAGCGAGAGCTTGAAGAAGAGCATATGCTTCAAGTATGTATTTTGTTTCCTTTAGGTGTGTAGATATTTCCATTTTGACTATTTAGTTATTCTGAATTGTAATTTCATCAGCATGCCAAAGAAGAATATCGAAAATCCTTCAGCAGATCTGATTCTTCGGACCATTCTGATAGTCCCAATTCATTGATGGGAAGCTTGGCTGAAACACCAGAAGATGTTGGATCTAAAGATGTTTTCTTACCATTCGATGCGTAAGTTATTTATTTTTTGAAATTTCAACTGGAAAACAACTGGACACTGAAATTTTAGGAAATCTGTATTTTTTTCTAATTTATACTGACTATCTGTAGATTATTTTGATAAAATAGAAGTTTGATAGTGTCCATCAAAAAAATAAATAAAAACTCTTAACTATTGAACTTGTAGTTGCCTTTCTCCAGTATTAATTTTTGGAAAAAAAATTCAACCGGTACTAATTATTATTTCTGTCAGTATAAAAAATAAAAACTGTTAAAAAATTTGATCTGTAATTTTAACTTTTCAATAATGGCTGAGTAAGCTATAAATAAGATGCAAAGACACAAAGGTAATTGGTTGCCCATAATCAACTCTATCTTAGTTACTTTGACAGAAAATTGCAATTATTAGTTCTTATAATATTTATTTCCTATTATCAGTGTTTTCATTACAGAAAAAAAAATGTTAGAGAATTTCTCACCCTTTCTCAAAAACAGGGTGAGATTTCAAAAAGTTAAGTGAGATTTCTAAAAATTAAAAAAAAAGCGAATAGACTTGGAAAAAAATAGTTGAATATTTTTGCTGCATCGTCATATGGAAAATGTTCTATATCTACTTCTTCATCAGTTATTCTCATTAGGTTGCTCAAATGCTTATCAATCAATATGTTATGAAATTTTGTCTTAGATCGGTTTTGGGTGTTAAATGACCTTGCAACAGATGCTGACCTATTCCCTACATCTGCCAGAATAGGTTTTTCAATTACTTCTGCTATAGAATAGTGAAGTTCGTTGAAGTTATTTCCATGTTCTTGCTTCATGCTATGTCTTCCAGCATTGCATAGTTTTCACAGCCTGTAACTTTTACAAATTGCTGTAAATTGCCGATGAGGGAGTTTGATAATTCATTAACAGCTAAAAATAGAGCTGACTTTAAATAACTTATTATAAAGAACTCCTTTTTTTTCACAGCTGATTTTTTATTGAGCTGAAAAATATCCGTATTTGTTTCGTTTTGACTGTTTTTGCCGACATTTGTTTCATTTTCATTTGTCCGTTATGGAGTAGAAGATGTTGCCTTAACAAGGTATCTGCCCATCTTACATTCATGCACAAAAAATATAAACGTCTTACATGAAGAAAACTTACCTATGGTGAACACATGATTGCAGAGAAATGTGTTCTGGAAGGGGTTCCGTGGTTGGGAGATGGGGGGTGTTCTGCTGTTCTCACCTGTTCGGAACAATACTGGTAAATAGGGAAGCTAGATAACAAGGACCAAGGTTGAAAATAATGAAAGATCAAGGAAGAAAAGTGAGACATATTTTATTTAAAATGACGGAAGACTAAATTTTTTTCCAAAATTCGCGAGATGCGTTATTTTGAAATTGATTTATAGAGTGTGCGAACTTCTCGCGTTAATAATTTTTTAATGCGAGAAAAGAAAAAAATATCTGAGATTCTCGCGCTGTAGTTAAAACACTGTATTATTAATCCTATTATCTTCTGTTGCTTCATTTAATTCATTCCATTTTTTTTCTACTTTCAATCTAATTCAATTTAATTGACTCATCGTAACTTTAGAAGAATGTTTTAGAAATTTTAGTTGAGACTGCCTTAAAAACCGAATTAGATTTTAAATTATCTTTTTATATATGTAGCGGAGTTGCATACATGAAGAAATTTAGATTACTATTTCCTCAGTATGAGATAAAATGAAAAAAAAAATTTAAGGAAAGAACAGTTGCTGAAATCTAACCCTGAAATTTTGTATTAATTATTTTAAATGCTTAGTTTGAAGATTGTTTTAAAAATTGTAAAAAATAAAATTTTGAAATTATTATATATCTTTAATTGTAACTTACATATCTAATACGTTGATTGGGTTGTATGTTGTATAATATATTACAAAAGGTCTGTTGACAGCAACTGTTTTGTGGCCTATTCCGATCAATCATTTCAATTAAGATTTAAAAAAAGCAATTAAAATTTTGATTTTCTCTTTTTACATTATAATTGACTAAATCTGCTTAAACTATTTCTTCTTAATATTGTTATACAAAAGTAAAGGATCGGGAAGCATTTGCATAAAAGTATGACATAAAATATTTCCAATAACTTATAATTGAAAATATATTTTTCTTGAATTATAATATTTTATTTTGTATAATAGTTTTTAATAATCATTTGCTATTTCAACGTGATTTTCTAAACTTATAGTTTTATATTTGTTGATTTCGTTAATCGTAATTTAAGATGGGAGACATGGAAAATTCACATAGAAATTAGTTTTGTCAACTAGGAGTTGTTCATTAACACGTTCGCAGCCACCGACGCACTAGTGCGTCAGAGCGGCACCTTCTGGTATGCTGACGACGCGCTAGCGCGTCGATCGACTATCATAGGTTATATGCTCTGTGTTTAGCGTGGCTTTGATAGTTGAACGGAGAGGTTGTTTCAGCACGATAGTGAAGCATTATTTTATTATTTTTTGTGGTTGGTTTTCAAAACTTTTGTTTGAATTTTTTTATGTGCGTGACTGCCAATATCTTTATATCGTGCTTAATATTTGTAAATATTTTCAGTATCGTTTCATAAATGGTACTACATGTACTTGAATGATATTCCGATTTATTCCTTTTAAGCTGCTATTTTATGCAATATGCCAGTAATTTCTGAGAATATTGATCAAATGCGCTGGAGCGCCAGTGGCTCTCACGAAGACAGGTTGAGTCTGTGTGCCACTAACGCTCCAGATCGTCGGGGGGGGGGGACGCTCTCTAAACAGGAAAATAATATATTTCTTCGTTTTTCTGGTTTTCCAAGTAAAATATAAGGAACATTTACACCATTAAAATAATGTTTTGTAATCCGGCTTCTGAGGATGGAAATATCATTTTTAGCGAGAGCGAATGTGTTAATTGTAGTTTAGTACTTTAAAATTAGCTTTGAATTATTGTTTTCTAATGTTCATTTAGTTTGAAGTTGTATCTCCCTCCAAACTTTCACTTTTGATATTTAAACTGTCAGTTTATCGATATACATTGTAAAAATATTTTTTTCTTCCTATTTTGAAAATGCAGAAATGGGAAATCATTGTCAACTAGTATGCTCAACTTGGAGAGTGAGAAACATTTCTCTATTTCCAAACTTTCTCATCCTGGTACAAAAGATAACCTCCCCAGATTTTCTATCAGTACAGAGTGTGATGTAATGACAGAGGATCATAAAGAGTTATCTCCCGTTGAAGAAACTGATGCCAAAGTCTCGCCACAGAGCCATCCACCTACTTGCACTGCCAACCGCATTTTTATTCCACCCATTTCACCTATGTCAAAACAGAACTCTCGATCTGTCATCAAGTCAGCATCTGTATCTGGTCTTTCTCTCATAATTCCTACAGGTAACTGATTTTTAAATCTATCACCAATATTTTAAATTTTTGTCCAGCTAGGTTAGAGCACATTTTTGTTTGTATACCAGCTTAAAAAATCACTTCAAATAAAAGTTTCAACTTATTTTGAGGGCTTCTATTTTTAGTACTCTATGTGCAATATTTTTATTAATTTATTTAATTTTATTATTTTAGCTTTTTTTTGTACGCTTTATGTAGGAACTTTTTAGTTTTGAATCTACCCAAATTAGTTAAAATACTTAGATAATAATTCAATAGCTAATATTGTTGCTAATTTAGAATCTCATTAAGAATAATATAATTATTTTTCTTTAATCTAACTATGATTAATCTTCCTTCATACAATTGTATGTGGTATATTTTTTTTTTCTAAAAAAAAATTAATATAGCATCCTCAACTCTGAGAAAACCCTGTGAGTTGAAATTTTTTCTTTTCTTTTCTGCTCTTCCCATAAATATAATCTTCAGTTTTTGACTATTTGTCTTTATAAATATTTCTAATGGAGCAAAGCACTTTTAAAATTACTATTAGTCCATCTTAGTGCATTAGACTGTAAATTCATGAAGGGCTGCAAAAAATTCTTAGTCTAATATTTTTACAGAATGCCAGTTTGTTTAAAGTTATTTCTCCCAATCGTTTTTTTTTTTTTTAGTTAAATAACTTTTTAATTTTTTAAGCAACTTTAGAAAGAAAGTTGAAAATTTCTTGATCATAATTCTTTAACAAAGAAAATATATATATATTTTTTTGATTCTATAGAATTCTTGAATAAATCGCATACATGTTAAAAGTAATGGAAATAAAAAGGCTTTGAAACAGTAATAATATATCAAACTAAAGTTAAGGTCCCACTGATAAACTTGGGAATTCAAACTAATAAATAAACAAATATACATATGAAGTTATTTGTGTTATTTTTAACATTTGAAAAATATTGTTCTTTTTTTTTTCGACAGAAAGTTTATATGGCATAAGAAATTTAAAAATATATTAAAATAAATTTTAAATAATGTGTATTTTAATATTTAAAGGAGGACTTGCTTTTCCATCTTTTTTATTCCTTGTTTGTCCAAATACTATATTTTCGATTAAGCTACAAGATTTAACAATGGTCATGAAGTCAACCAGTATAATTTTAGTTAAGGAGAATATTACGGAATCATTCTCAAGTTATTTAAAATATATGCTTTATCATCTATGACAACCTTCCTTTCTCCTTATACTTACTGTCAATGACCTTAGATGTTTTATACACAATTAGATATTTCATATGATGGAGTACTGATGAAAATCTAGTTACATATTTTTCACCGTGGAAATGTCTGTCTAAAGACTCTTTCAATAAATTTTTAAAGCTTTATGAATTAGAGGTCAATTCTGCGAAATTAAAATCTCATGGAATAATCTGTTGCACTGAACATTCCAATTGCACAGACATGTAATTTCTCTGAAACTCTACTCCGTTGCATGCTAAGAAAAAACCGTTATCCCTATAGAAGGAATCTGTTTGCATACAAGTGCACACTGAATGGATGCCAAGTTCTCAGCACAAACATATATCAACATTACTAATTCTCATTTAAATAAAATGTGGAGAAAAAAAAAGAAATATAGTTTCTTGCGGATGATTTTCTTCCATAGCAAAACAATTGCAAAAATTCTTTTTTTCGCATTTGAGTTGTTATAGAGCATGTCAGCATGAAAGACGCACCATTTTTGGTGATCCAATTAAATCCAATGTTCTTGCAACGTCACGTAGTTGTTTCTTTTTCAAGAACAAATGTCCTCCTTATTTATAAAAACATGTCCTCAAATCTAGGATTCCAGTATGACTATGAAACTATCACCTTTTTTTTGTGAATAATTTTATGATTTATATTGTGAAAGATAGCCCAAATTAAATTTCTGTCTAAGGTGTTTAACTTTTAAAAACTTTTATATTGTTTTTATATTTGTATAGTTTGATAACGAAATGAAATGTAACTATATGCAGTCGCGTATGATTACTTAAATCCTATACCACAATGGTATTTTCTTAACTTTCAAGTAGGAATCTGAAAATTTTGGTTTAATACTTTTGCTTTCAAAGGAAAATTTCCATCTTTATGTGCAGTTATATTAATACTAAAGTGTTTTTCCCCCCACTAGTATTTCCATTTATTAAAAGTAATATTTGTTACTAATAATCATTTTTTATATGCAAAAATAACATGCATGAAGGAAAAAGAAATAATGCTTTGTTTCTAATAGATTTTTCCTTATCAACATATAAAATATGGGCAATATTTTCACATTTTGAAATAAAAACATGGAATTTTAAAAATCTTGAAGCCTGTAGCAATGTGAAAATAATCAAAATCTGATTTGCGACAAAATCATGTAAAATAAATGTGTGGTTTGAGATTCGTACACTATCTTAAATAGTATTGTATTTAAAATAAAGGGATTTTAAAAACCTTGTAAAAATATGTAGCGAGTAAAAATAAGTAAGTAAAATTTACGATTCAATGTTTGGATATTGTGAAAACAATGTATAAAGGATATTAGGATTAAGAAAATTATGTAAAAAAAGAAAGAAACACATTAGAAAATCAATAGCAATAATAGTCTAAAAAACGCTCCAATCACCATAGGGATTTTCCAAGGAAACGACGTGTGGCGAAAAGTTTCACATGTAAGAATAACATGGTATGAAATATATCTGCAATTTTGAAATCATGTGTCAATCAACCATATCAAAAATTTGATTGTAAAGAATTAATGAATTGTTTCATCAAAAAGTCACTTATTAAATTTCGAAAGTGCCGTAATAATATTGTATTGTATTTTAGTGCCATAATAATATTGTATGAAAATTAACATTTGAAAAAAACATAAATTTTAAAAATGTGAGGTAATTCGTAGCAATAGCTGCCAAAAAATGAACAAAATTATTCTGTATGGATTTACTATGGAATTAAAGGAAATTGAATGTACCAAGAAGTGATTGCTAAAATCAGCATTAATTTTTTAAAAAAAATTTTTGGGTTTTCATTGATTTATTTTATTTTTACTTCCTTTTTCGTCTTTTGTTTTAGGGGGAAAATTTTGTAAAGCAACATTATTTTTTCAATAAAAATTTTTTTAGCAATTTTTTTATATTTTTTAAATTGACCAAATATTTTCTCAGGTTTGCTAGAATTTCCCCCCAAATCTTGTTCACATGATTGGATATGTTTTACACCACTGAAGGCATGTTGTTCTTATATTTTTATTTTTTTCCATTAGTTTTCGATCAATCAATATGGCTAATTATCCATTCTTAAATGTACATCTTTATTGGTTACTCCTCTGCTTTCTGGCATTTCATTAAAAAGTTACATGTATGCCAAAAGTTAATGAGAGTTTTTCATCCACAATTCAACATGCCTTCAACATCCATGCAATTTATTAGTTATAGGACAAAGCAATGAGAAAAAGAGAAATGCAGGATCAGTTTGATATGGTAAAATCTTACCTTCTTGCTTCCTGTAAAAATATGTTGGGTTATTGTAAAATATTGATCAATAGTTTTAATGTTAAAAAGTATCTTGGCTCTTTCTAAGTCATAAGTTTTCAAAAACAAAAGTTAAAAATATTCAAAATTGAAGACTATTTCAAAATGTTGTAATATTTAATCCTTTGGAGAAAATTTTTTTTTTTATATAAAGTTGTGAATTCCTATTATTTCTAGAAATTTTTTTCTTTTTTTTGTTGATATTTTTAGTAATGTAAATATTTGTTTTTTGTTTAGAAGAGTTTGGCCCTCCACCCATTGGCTCACCTGGTGGATCGAGCACAAGTTCAAGAGATGCATCGCCAAGCAGAGAATTAAGTCCTCTTGTTGCCCAACTGAAACCTCCAATTATAATTCGCAAAGGGCCCAGAGGATATGGTTTTACTGTTAGAGCTATAAGAGTTTATTATGGTGACTCAGATGTATATACTGTTCATCATTTAATCATGGTATGATAATTTATTTTCGCCTCCCTTTGTAGTTTAAAGCTAAAGTTTATCTAAATTTATATATCTTTTTTGTTTTCTAATTTTAGGCTGTTGAAAGTAATAGTCCTGCATTTGAATCCGGATTAAGACCTGGAGATCTTATTACCCATATAAATGGTGAGCCAATTCAAGGTTTGCTCCACCACCAGGTTTTGCACCTTATTCTCTCTGGAGGTGATCGTATCAACATACGGACTATTCCGTTGGATAGTACGACCATTAAATCTGGTGGTCGTAAAAGGAATCCATCTGCTATTAAAATGGCTAAACGGCCGTATTCCTGTAGACGCCGCTCAGCTCAAGTAAAACGAGATTGTCATTCTGATAAAAAGCGTAGAGCCTCTTTACTTCGACGCCTGAGTAGCAAGAGAGCAAGTGCTGAAATTCACCAAGTATCTGGTTCCTCACCTGTTCTGACACCTAGTCGCAGTTTTCAGTCTTTCACACGAAATCTGTCAGCAGCTGACAGCCTGCCTGCTTCTCCTACTAGAACAAAAAGTCCAAGATCACCACCGACAGCCAGATTATGTTCTCAGTCTGATTCACCTCATTCCACTGGAAATTCTTCTCAAAGCAGCTCCCCTAGTTCAAGTGTTCCTAACTCACCAGCAAGCTCAACTCATCTTCCTCATTTTCCTCGTCCAAGTTCACTTCATGGTTTGAAGCACAAACTCACACAAACATTCCATTCACCTAGGAGAAAGTCTGTGGGACACATACCTCTCTCTCCCCTAGCTCGTACTCCTTCACCCTCACCCATTACATCGACATCTCCTACGCGATCACCATCTCCTCTTGCTTTTCCTGTTGCTCATCATCATCCTACCAATCCTCAAATTGCTTCAAACTTCCAAAATCTCAAATCATCTTCAGTATCACCCTTATCCGCTACCATCTGCTCATCAGCCAAAAAATCTTTTATGAGACCGAAAAGCGCTGAACCAAGTTCACCACTTTTAAGAAGAGCTCTCTCCCCAGACAGACTCCATCCAAAGTCAGCAGAAGTTAAAGCGAAACGAGAATCATTTTCTGGTCAGGCTTCTCCTCTAGCTTTATCCTCATCTCCATCTCCTCGAGGACAGTATCTGTCTCATAGCAGCTCTGGTAAATTATGTGTAACATCCCAGCGATCTTCTACTTCTTCATTTACTGTTTCTAGTGTGAGTAAAAGTATCAATGATATAATTGATGGAGACTGTAGCACTTCTTTTGAAAAAGATAATACTTGTAATACTCCAAAATCTAGACTTGAGGGAAGAATAAGTCGTTCAACATTTTCTCAGTTGCGGAAGAGAGGAGAAAAACCTTTTAAATCTTTGTTGAGTCAACAGCTTTTTGCTGCAGATCAAGAATCCTTAAAAGACACTAAATTGCCTGAGCCAACAGATGCAAAAGGAACAGCACCAGCAACTCCAGACATAGAAATAACTCAATGTTCATTATCTTTGGAGTTGGAAGAAGAAGTCCCTTCTAAGGGGATATCACCATCTTTGGTTACCATAACCAGTAGAGGTCGTAGCGAGTCTGAGCCAATACCATCTCTTCCAGAATTAGATTCCTGTTTAGAAATTGATGAATTGCCTCCTACCAATCAGGGCTCTGCTTTTGTTTCTGAAAAGAAATGTGATATCCCAAACCCATCAGTTAAAACTGAATCAAGAAATTCTGTCAAAGATACTAAAACTGAAAATAAAACAACTGAGAAACAAGAACCAATAGTAGAGTCTTCGAAAGCTAAACCGTCTGAGATAGTCAAGTCTGAAAATTCTGTGAGTAATCAATCTTCTAAAGTTGAAACTCCAAAGGAAAAAGCCACTTCTGAAAAATCTAAACAGTCATTTGAAAAAACTCAATACAAAGAAAAGAGTGCTACTATGTCAACTTCCGCTACCTCTCATTCAAATCCCATTGGTGATGTGAAAAGAGTACCTGTGCGAAAATTGGGAACGGTTGAAAAGGTTAATTTAAATATTGACGAGCCAAAGAAGGATGAGAAGAATAAGTCGTTCACCTCATCAGTTGAAATTAAACTTTCAAAAGCAAAAAGTGATAGCAAACCAGAACTCAAACCCTCCTCAGAAAATGTGAAAAAAGATCAAAAATCTGAATCCACCAAAAAAAATGATAAAAGAAGACCTGATAAGGATTAATAATAGTTTTTAATTCTAGCATGTGAGAATGCTCTATCTCAAAATGATTTTTAGTACTACTATAATTTTTACAATAAAAAAATTTGGTTGTATATTTTTGTATATCTTGTTTTATTATAAACTATTTTTATGATTTAAAGCACTTTTCATACTTTTATCCTGTTCTCTCTCATTGTCAAATGTGTTGTAGATTTTATTTTGTGTATTTCCCTTACATTGATGCAAAAAAAAAAAAAACATGTTTTGTAGGAATATAGGAACAAGGTATGGTATGGTAGTAACTGATGTTAGTTGATTAAAATGGCAGTCCTCCTTCTGCTGTTTAGTAGTATTTAAGGACATTAGTATATTTGTTTGTTATTTACTAATAATCAAATTCACTACTAAGTTTACATTTAATGCTTTTTCTTGTTTTTACTTTTTATTCATTCTTACCTCATTTGTTACAGTAGTAATTTTCTTCCAAATTTAAACTTTTTCAGTTTTTGAATCATATAAATATTTAAACTATTTTGAAATTTTCAATGCTTTTGAATAATACCACAGATGATTGTGCTCCAGAAAAAATCCTGATTTCCGGATTTTTCACTAACCGCGATCCTAAAGTTTCCGGAAATCCAAGGTCCAAAAGTTTTGAGAAATCATCAATCACATTTATAAATAAAAATTCTAGTATATTTTATTTAAAAATATTTGAACTATAATTTATACTTTGCATCTCTTTCCTTTGTAAATATTTTTTCTAGCAAAGTAATAAATGTGATTAGAGATAAAAGTAAACTTATATATAATTTTTCATTTAAGTTATGCTGTATATAATTTATTTAGAATTTCATATTTTGAAAATATCAATGATTTAAATTTATAAAGATATTAATTTTTTGAAATTCGTTATTAATAATTTTACTCAAAAATTTTTCAGGATTTTTGAGTTTGGCTCACAATTACCCCTATAATACTCAATTCTTATGTATTCACGTATCATACTCATTTTGCTTATTAAAAATTTTTTTTCTCACTCATTTATAACTTTCTAAATTTTTTTAATTGAATAAATATTTGTTACTATAAAATAAACAAAAAGTTTTTTTTTTCAAAGCATAGTATTATTAAAGATAATGGGGAATTTTATACAACACGAAAAAAGTTTTTATATCAGGGGTTTCATAATAACTGTGAAAACAAGTATATTTATTAGGGGTTATAACTTAATGTTTAAGCTGCAAAAATGCTACAAACTAACAAATCACTGATGTATAAGACAACAATAAACACTTCAGAATGGAATTGAAATATGAGTATTTGACACACTATTAAGTTTCATCTGGCAATCAAACTGTTTTTGATATTTTTCATACTAGCATCTTAACTACTGATTGATAATGATTATTTTTTTTTTTTTACTTCATTTTGACAAGAATTTAAAAAATACTTATTAAGATTGAAGATTGCATTACTAGTTTCTCAAAAAAGTAAATTGCATTCGAAATAAAGCTATAAGCATAATTTTCTGGAAAGAAGGAGGATTGTCTATTTCTCATATAGTTTAAGAATTAAATTGTTAGTTGCAAAGAGTGTATAGCTAAAATAAAATTGTTGGATTAAAATAAGTATTAAAGCACTTAAAAACTGAATTAAGCTTAAAATTGAAGATTGAGTATGTGTGTATGCATGTTATTATTGCTATGTGTAGAAACAATTGCAGTTGTTCATGAATTTCATTAAAATTGAATCTAATACTGGAATATTTTATGTATCTGTAAATGTATTTGTACAGATGTTAACGTAATATTTGCTTTCATAAACTGTTTCCTTTGTATCGAACTATGAATTCAAATATTATTTGTGTGAAACGTAAGGGAAAGTGTGCTTAGAGCTTGTATGAACATGTATATACACTTGATCAAGTACAAGTATGTTTAATACAGTAAAATTTTTTGAAAGGAAATTATTTTATCTTGTTTCAGTAGAATTTGTTAATGGATAATTGCTCGAAAGGAAATTTTAGAAGTTAAGAAGTAATCTTATTGTGTAAGCTTGCTAAAAGCACTTAGTAATTATTCTATGTTAATGCAGTTCAATTCATTGAAATATTTCAGTAAAAAGTTGTAATAAAATGTGCAATTGTCACTGTACTGAATGTAGTGCGAGGAAAGAAAAAAATTCCAATTATTTAACTGTTGAGGTTTAGGGTTTAGATATTCTAATTAAATTTTTTGTTCCTTAGATTATTTGCTGTGTTGTATTCATGTATAATTTTGACCCCCCTTTTTTTCTTCCTTTTTTTTTTTACTTATTTAAATTTTGCTTCACGAGGTATACTTTATTATGAAATGGTTTGGTTAGTAATGTTTAAATAAATAACTAGTATAACAATACAAAAATTTCCTGTAAATGATATTCACGAAAGTATCAATTAAAAGTCCATAGTTTCAACAGCAGTTGCTTTGTCTAATGAATATAGCAAAAAATGCTATAATGGATGGTGTTTGCTTTACTAGAGAGCGCTACAGGCTCTTTACCACCCATTTTTACCGAGTCACGATGGTAAGAAGCTCGAGATTTTTTTTCTCACGTTCACATTGAAAACACCATCCATTCCATGTTGCTCCTTTTTTTCCCCTATCAATATTTGCATCTGCTACTTAAATATCAAACTATTTATTGATTCATAGAAAAAAAAAATTAATAGTAGCCTCAGTGGTTGCTTTTTGTTCTAAACATGGCCATTGTTCTGCTTTCTTTTTTTTTACCACTCTTCAACAATATTTGCCTTTGCTACTTAAATGTAGAAATATTTTTTTTACTTAATGCATGCCAACGTTTTTTAGTCTGGAGTCCAAATTTAATAGAGCTCATAATTTTATTTGTTAAACATGTGCATTTTCTGAAGTTCTTCAATCAACTTTAACATGCTAAGTTGACTTTTAAAAATGCATGGAAAATTTTTATGTATACTTTTTATTACATCATAATTCTATTTAAATAGAAAATAAATAGAAAGGTTTAAACTTCTTCAATGCATTAATCTTCTGAAATGTTTCAGACTTAATAACTGACTTAATCTTCTGTCTCTAAAATACCTCAATAGTATCAGATGCTGATTTTAAAAATAAGGTTCTCTTTCAATATTTGTCCTTTATATTCCTTTTTATTTTTCTCTCCTATTTGTCAGTCAATGTTATGAAAACAGCTTTAAGTATTAAAACGATAATTGAAATGTACATAACTTGAAATCTGAATCTAAAATATTTTCTATGGAAAGTTTTAAAAAATATTTCTCATTAATTTTTTATTAAAGTTGAAAAGTTTTTATCTGAATCTAATATTTTCTATGGAAAATTTTAAAGAATATTTCTCAGTATTGAACTTTTATTAAAGTTGACTATCTTTATTTAACATTGAATATCTAATTCTACTTTTTTCCAAATGTGCCACAAAATGAGCTTTTGTTGTATTGTTTTAAAGCTTGTTTGAACTGTCTTCATTGACGTATTGTCTCATTTTACTGCTCAATTATCTTTTGAAGTCGTTTTGTTTTCTCCCTTCAGTTAAAATAGTTTAAATTTATTCACATAACATATAAAAATAATTTAACTTTTAAATTGCTAGTATCAAAAAATTTTATGAAATCTTTAGTAATTATCTTATTTTAAAAAGTTATCTGTATTAAAAATAGAAGTGACGTAATCAAGGATGCATGTGCCTTCATATGCAAATTTCCCGGTTATTGCCAGATAAAAACAGAATTAAAAATAATTGTATTTGAAAAATCTAGATGTCATCCATAGTAATAAATTTTTAATTATATTTCTATTTTTAATTAAATGTTTAATTATGCTCTTTAATAACAAAACTACTATCTCTCCTCTTTTTAAGATATTAATGTGTTCAGAAAATTCCCAGCATTCTGGAATAGCACCCCCCTTTTTTTATGTATATAATTCTTCACTCTGGAAAGAAATGGATTTTGTGGTGATTAAATTTTTAGAATTTTGCTACTTTATTAAATTCAAAAAGTAATTCATCTGAAAAATTATTCCACTACCTAGAATTTTTTAGTTTTAATTACATCTGATCAGATATATTCTAGCTGTCTAATTTAAATATTTTGAAGAAAACAAAAAAAATTTTTTTTTTCATAATTTAAAAGTAACATGGATTTTTGACCAAATTTTTTTATACTAGTTTAAAAAGGTTTTGTTTAGTTATAATAAAAAAGTTTGTTCAGCAAACTGGTCAGTGAAATCTGTCTTCCTGTAAGCATTATTACATTTATTTTAAATTTGTTTTTGTATTGCATTAGAAAGTTCGCTGTACGTTATTCTAAAAGTTAGCGTTGGTACAAATCATTGTTTAACATTTATTTGAATATTTGTTTTGATTAATTTTCCTGAAGTTTAGGACCTATAAAACAAATGCAATTTGAAAATTTAAAACCATAATAGAACAAACTTAATTTTTTTAAAGATAAAATTTAGTTATAACTACATATGATACCTACTAATGAAGCTGAATTTTTAAAATAAATATTGGTAGTAAATACTACTGCTTATAATCCATTTTTTTATTATTATTATTATTAAACAGAAGTTGACATTTTGCTTATCACTGTACTCAACTATTTCCTTTCTACTTATCTTTCCCATTGATACATTTCTATAGAATATTGTTTTGATTTTCTAAGAGTCAAAATATGTAAGTACTACTAGATTTTACAATTTTTCAAAAGACTATTTCTCTCATTTTTAATTTGGTGATGTATCATTCATTGCTACACAATAAGCAATTAAATCAATTGATGTATGTTTATTTATTTTGCTCAATTTAAAAGTTACTAAAACAATATTAATGTATTGATAGTTTTTTGTTAAATAAAATTTGTTTTTATTGCTTATTTGCTAATATCGACTGTAAGAAAATGAATTATTTTCATAAGTAATGCTTAATTTCTAAGTCATATTGAATGTGGTAATTAGATTTTTCACTGTATGGGAACAAGCATATTTTTGCTTTTTTTTTCACTTTGATTACCGTTTCTGATGCTTGTGGAGTTTTTTTTCTCAGTGTAAGATTTGTTTTTGAGGAAATAACTATATTTTATCTCATTATTGTATACTTTCCTTTGTATAAAATTCACCGTCATTGTAAATATTTTAATAATTTTTATCGTATTTTGGTGAAGCATGAACTCATTAAATATTGTGATAAATCAATGGCTTAGAAATAATTGCTTATGTCTTTGTGCAGTCAACTTATTTATTATTGCTTGTCTGTGCAATTAAAATTGTAAGCAAAAATAAAGTTTCAAGCATTTTGTGCATTTTCTTTGACATTGATTTTAATGGTTTTCATGAATTACGATATATTGCCCATTGGATCGACACATACATAAATTGTATTTCCTAAAATAATAATTTCAACATATTTTCACTTCATACTTAGTGAGATAATTTGCTGACTGACACCAAAAAAAAATATTAAATTACTTTGTCTAATTTTCAGTTCCCACATTATGAGGGAAATGTCTTGGTCAAATTTACAGATAAAAGGAGTGTTTTTTTCCGTCCCGGGCAAACAGTAAGGCGGAAAGTGCCACAGCTCTTGAATCTTGACATAAACAAATGCAGCAGCCAATCAGGTTCGACACCTAAGCGTGATGTCGCTTGCAGGTACCCAATTAAATTAAGATATTTGTATTGATTTTATGAAACAGCATGAACCTTAATTTAGTATTCACATTTTTAATAAAACGAAAAAGTATATTTTTAATTTGAAATAAAGAACACAAAGGTCTTTTCAAAGCAGTTCATCAAAATTTAACAGCTAACACCGTTTCTAAAACAAATATTTAAAACTACTGTTTTTTGGTATACATTATAAATTACCCGTTTATGCCATTAAATAGTCTCCCCCCCCCCTCATATTATTTACATTCTTTAATGAAAACATTTTTATATGAAGAATGTAATGGCGAATTATTGCAAAAGAGAGAAAATTGTAATCACAATATTGAGATCACTGTTTACCCGTTGGTTAAATGTTCTCTTTTTTTTTTCTTCGTGAATTCTCTAGAACGAAAATGCATTTCAAGTCATTGGTTGAAAAAACTGCATCTATTGATAATTGTTCTCTTGTCGTCAGAAGGGCTGAATTGGTTTTTGATTACAGCTAATATACTTTTACGACAACAAAATTCTTTTCCTTTTTCAGTATTGATATTGAAAATCGCCACTAAGACAGTAATCATGAATAAGTTAATCAAGGGTCGAGGAGACACTTAAATATGGTAATGAGTGCGAACTAATTATTTAGAAAATCAGGAAGCTGCGAAATCCTGAAAAATGTACCTTCCCTTTTCCCTGAATGTTTATTGAAGATTCTTTAAAAAGTATAATATTCAAGAGTGTAAAACACGATTTATGAAGTTTTTATAAAAAAAAAACTGGTTGCATTAATAAAATTAATATACATAGAATGATCACAAAACATACTGTGTGGTAGTACACTTTATTCAATTACAAAATCTTGAAAAATAGCATTTTGTCTAAGCCTAACTAGGCTTCGTATTCTTTTTGTGTGTTTAGTTACATCCTTTATAAAACTGTAAGAATACTTCCTAACAACTTTTATTTTTAAATTAAATTAATTTAAGATGATTAGCTATTGAATTTCTTTTTATAAATGAATCAAATATATTTTAACATAATATGATTAAAAAAAAGTGGCTCTATAATATCAACCCTTACAAGATTTGTTAATTATAAAATGTAAACTAATCTATAGAAACAAAATAAAAATCCTTTTTTACTTTTAAGCTGGTTTGAATGCAAAAATTTTTTAACTTTTTGACTGAAAACTCGCGATAATTCACTGCACCTGAAGTATATCGAGAAATATTAATTCCTATTTTATTTAATGCATAGTAATCAATTTAATAATATTTCTAACAAAGGATAACAGGTACAAGTGAACTAAGGGGCCGCTTTTTTTGATAATTAGTTAAAATATGAAAAGCTGAAAAAATTATTAACGCCTATTAAATTTTTTATTAAGATTATTTCGTATGAACTTACAATATTTTTAAAATTTTTTGGATCTTAATTATTTTTTAGACTTTTAGTTTATTCAAATGTTCTTTTTTTTTTTAGTGTCTTTGGCAGAAGATTTATTACCGTCTAATGTAAAAATATTGATAACAATGTGGTTAATTCTTTTTTATTTGGTTATGAACATGGAAAACAATAAGAAAAAAGGAAGGGCTATTTTTATGCTGCAATAAATAATGCAAAACTTAAAGCAATAAGCGCAAATAAAAAAGAGTTAAAATGCACACGTCTGTTCCAATTCTCTAAAAGGGTATAATTTGAACAGAAACATGGAACATTCTTTTCTCTGATAGAAAATGTTCGTTATTTACAAAAGCGCATAATCTGCTCAATTTTTTCTTCTTTTTTTTTGACTGCCGCTGTTCAAAAGGTAACTAAGTTTCAACTATTTTAAGCTTTCTGCAGGTAGAATAAACTATTTAACACGTTGAATGCCGTGGGTTCACTGGTGACCGGCGAAGCCAAGATTATTCGAAACGCATGATTCGAGTAAATTTTAATTTTTTTTATATTATTATCGTTACTAAAATGGTTTGAAGAAATTAATGCAATACGTACTGAAAAAATCATTTTGACCAGACAGGCAAGCCATGTAAAATTAGCGTGGCATTCAACGTGTTAAGAAATACAAATAACAAAATAAATCATGAATAATGATCATAATCTTTCAAAATGTTTTATATATATATATATATTATTTCTGAAAATTTAGTTCTGTATAGAATTGAACACATTTCAGAAAAATTGGTTCAAGCATTGATATTTTAAAGTTAATAAAACATATGAAGATTTTTTATTATTTTATTTTATAACCGGCGTTGGAACAGTCGACCCAATTTCTAGTTTACGACTACCAACATTCTACTTCGTAGCCTTGTAATTTTGAACCCAATCCAGAAGATAAGGGAACTCCTGGATCAAGTATTAGAAGAAATTTGCCTTTATGAAGATCTTTTTGCTGAACCATATATATGTCACGGCGAAAGACCGAAATCGGTGGTTGTTGACTTTCCGGTGAATGTCGACAAACACCAAATACGTCGGTGAAAGATCGAATATTTCATTACATTCTTGTACATTCGGACCCTCACCGGTGTATGTTGGTAATCACAGATATGCTTTGGTGAATGTCCGAAATATTTATCACATTCGATTTGATATGAATTTATTCGTGGATATAATTACATTTATTTGATATTTTTACCCTACACTGATGTTTTTTTAAGGTTAAGTTTCACCGCCCGGTATACATTTGCCCGGTATACCCTACACTGATGTTTTTTTAAGGTCAAGTGCCATTGCCCGGTATATATTTGCCCGATACTCCAAACACTGATGTTTCTTCTAATCTATCGTCAGTAAGTATTAAAATATAGAATAAATATAAATATATCAAATAAATATAATAATATTAACGAATAAATTAATATAAAATTGGATATAACAAATATTTCGGACATTCACCAAAGCGACTATGTGATTGTTGACATTTACCGGTGAGAGTCAGGAATAAGGGCATTTAGCAAATATTTCGGACATACACCAGGCGACTACGTGAATGCTGACATTCACCGGTGAATGTCGACATTCTCCAGATTTCGGTGTTTCACCGTAACATATATATTATATATTTTGAACCACATCACTTTCTGAATGCTAGTTATTATTTTACACAGAATAATAGGTACAAACTTTTTTCTACGTTTTTCTTTTCTATTATTTGAATGAAATTTATAAAATCCTAGCTATCACTTTTCTAAGAGTTTTATGACTTAAAAATTTAGATTTGACATCTTACAAAAACAATGGTATATGTGAACTAAGTTTTAATAGTATCGACTGGTACATAAAGCTGCGATCACTTCCTTTTTTTTTTTTTTTTTTAAACATAACCTTTTCAATGAACATGTGAAATCGATTAATAAATGAAAACTGATTAAAACTGGAAAATTCAGATACAGTTTATAAATATGACTAAAATTTAATGTATTTACATCGAATGTTAGAACAGGTTTATATTGAATCAGGGTGAGTTAGCGTGTAGCGTTCTTAAAAAGTGCTTAAAGGTGCTTATTTTCGTTTTTTAAAAGCCCTTAAAGGTGCTTTTTTCATAGGGTGCTTTTAAAAAGTGCTTTATTTTCCCTTTTTCAAAATGATATTTTTCTTTTACTATGTTGATTTTCGTTTCGAATTATGCAAAAAGACACAGTTCACATTGTTCTATTCAATGCTTTCATAATTAATTCAACCCCAATCTATTTCGCCATATTGTAAGTCCGTAGCGTATGAAAACGCCATTCGTTTTACATGATTCAAAATTTCATGATTTTTGACAATTGTCAAAAACAATGCCAAAAGGTTTTTATTGTGATGACGGTTAAAACATGATAAAACCGTCAATTGTCAAAAACTTTCCAACCCTGCCTAATTATGATATTTTTTTTAAAGTGCTTAAAAATCTTTTTTGAGTGCTTAAAGAGTGCTTATTTTTTGTTGAATAATTTGGCTACGCACCCTGTGAATGCTATGTATCGATAAACACATGTAGTGTATTATTTTTAAAGTCCCTTTTGAAAAGAGTGCAAAAAGAAAAGGAAGTAGATTGCGTTTTAGACTCAAAAAAGGTCTAGGCGCTTAAGGGAATTCATTTTTGATCCAAACGCAATATGGTGCTAAGATGAATATGTTTCGAATACTGGGATAAACAAATGCATCTTTGCCATTGTTTATCGTGGATGGGGAATGCATAAAAACCAAGAGACGTAAAAGCAATACAGTTTTCCCATTCTTTTTATTGTTGCCATTTTCCTTACATAGATCCTTGGAGAATTGAAAGGGTTGTCTGTTCCGATGGAAGCTTTGAGGTGGAAAAGAAAAGGAATGAAAATCGTGTTCTGTATGCACACACTGTGTACTCTTTCTATTGTTTTGTACTTGGATATAATGCGGTATAATATTTTTATTCTAAATAGTTTGAAATACCTAAATATCTTGATTGACTTCTTTTAAACATTTTATCGGAAAAAGTTTTGACTAATTCTTAAGCAAAATTATTATTTACCATATGTTTGAAATTTTAAAACGAAAACACAATATCTAAGTATAATTTTAACGGAATTGAATAAATTCTTATACCAGTTAAGCTAGTAGGGTAAAGCAACCAGTGCAGGAACACACCCTGGTGAAAGAACATTTCATAAATATTTTTTAAAAT